TTCAAAAGTTGCTTATACAATTTGTGTGCCTCAAATTTACATAAAATAAATTATCTTGAACAGTCACGTTGAAATAGTCACTTTGAGTCTCTTCAATCTGCCACTTCAAACATGATGTGCATTACATTCCAACATGTAGTCGTATATGCAGGCATGCATTTTGTTCTGTGTAACATTTTTGCTAAATCTATTTAGTAGAAATAATTTGTTCACGTTTTGACTGAATAGTATAATAAAGTTAGATGTAGGTTGAGCACCAATGACATATTCTCTATAAACAGACGACCATCTTCATAGTTTGCACTATTCATTAAGTTAAACAGTGTTATGGGGCCAACATGCACTGACAGCTTATACTAATCTTATTGTAAGATTGCGGTGGTACTTTCATTGCATCTGTAAACCCTCACACAATCAACACCCCTGTTTTCTTTCCTCTCAGTCAACGTGAAAATTAGATTTTCTTCTTGCCTTTTCCTACAGCCATTGCAAGAAACGGGTAAATAGATTGATAGAGAAGAATTATTTCTAAATGAGAGCCATTTCAGTTTGCGCATACACCTAAAATAGAAGGATATATATTAAATAAGTTGAAATGAGTGTGAGAGAGAGGAGAATAGATTTAAATTGAAATGTATGATTGTAGTAGACTTGTGTTGTTTTTTTTTATTATTTTGTTAATGTAATAAAGTCAAAGTATATTTAATTTTAAATTTGGGTTCAATTGTGATTAAGAAATAATCCAGAACCTAATCAGTAGTATTTACTTCTGTGCCTATGTTCTTTCACTCATGTGACTTTATTTGGAGGTGACTTTAATGATTGTTGTTGCCCTTGCTGAGGGGAGAGATCTACATCACTGTGGGGATTTCTGCCTTTGACATGGTGAACCTTGCCAGTATTCCTCAGAGCTCATTTATTGTGATACACATTTATCTTTGGAGACTGTTAGTTTTCCCTAGAAATGTATTTGTTTTATTCAAGGGTCAAAATGTGTTGAGGAATTTTGAAAAGTATATCATGGCTTGTTGAGTAATTAGGAGTGGAGTACATGTATCTGTTGTGACTCACTAATGAAGTTTGGGTACTACATGTACAAATTCCGATACAGGAACTTTCAATTTAGATGGCAGCGCCAGTGCCACAAATCATTATGATTATGAAGTTCTGGTGGTTAGGCTGTTATCTGTCATAACTGTATGGTTCTGTCAATGTCAGATGGGCAAGAAAAAACATAAATCATGACATACCAGTAGTCTTCACAGTTGGAGAAAAACTCGTTTGTTTCTGTTGGTAGCCATGATAATTGTCAATCGAATAATTTATTTTAATTTGTAGAGAAATTGACCAGCAGTTAACCTGTCACACAGATATTCATCATAGCTGAAGATCATATTAACGTCAAAATGTTTTTGATTCTGTCATGTGTTAACTTAAACAAGTAAATTAGTTTCATTTTGAAACTTGCTGTTTATTTAGTACAATCAGTTGGAGGTAAATTAGTTTATATTTACTATCTGGGGGTAAACTAATTTATCTAGACAGAAAGGTAACTATTAAACATTCCATACAGATTGATTAATTTGTTGCTCATGACTTCACCTCAGTGGAGATAGTCAAGTATCATAAGATGAATTTAATAAAAGTTATAAATGAGTTTTATATCTAGGTTCATCATCTAAAGTCAGATGGCATACCTATCGCTTAAACAAAAGAGTTATTCAGATGTGAAAAAATAGTTTTAGAATATGTAGAAAGCAAAGGACAAAAACATTTAAGTATTTAAACAGATCTGTTATATATGATTGTGATATGCTTACAATTATAAATAAATTTAAAATAATGTATCCAAAAAATTATTTTCAATTTAATGAGACAGATTCATTTTAAATATGCACCAAGATAGGGTGTTCTTGGGTTTTGTTTTGGGGTTAGATTTCAATTAAGCTAAAGTTCCTTGGAAATGGCTTTTGTACTGCAACAACTACCATCTATTAAAATTGACTGCCATATTAGATACCGAATTAATGGCATTATAGCTCCAAGTCAATAGTTAAAACAGCAGGGACTGATAAGGGTTACCTAGTAATTATTTTACTAATAATAGACGCCCCTGATGTCTTAGATTATTTTATCATTAACTTTATATATTCATTATAGTTGTCTGCCTATAGTGGTGGAAAAAGTAGGATAATGATAAGAGGTTATTATATGACAGATATATAAAACCAGACAGAAGATTACTAAAGATATGTCAGTCAATCATATTTAGAATACGAAATATATCTTATAGGACTGATCTGAATTGCAATGATATTATTTGAAGCTTAAATCACTAATTCATTTATTTTTTGTTAAGTTATAATTTGTCAGTTGGGACAATTATGAAATAGACATTGTGACTTTAATATTATTGTCTCATCAATGGTTCCTTACCAACCAAACATGTCAACCCCCAGGTATGAAAAATGATATTATTTGAATCCTAAATCAGTTATTCATATTAAATTTTGTTAGGTAATCTGTAGCCTGTCAGTTGGTACAATTATAAAATAGACATTGGGACTCCCATATTGTTCCATCAATGGTTCCTTATTAACATGTTTGGAAACTTATTTGAGAGTGTGAATGTGCAGTCTGTGTACCTATTGCCTTGAATGGTACTTCTACTCTAGCATTGCCTGGCAGCACTATTGAACTATTGATATAATCTGTGTAAAAAAAGATAAAATAGAAATTTGTCAATAGAGTATCAAGAGTTTTTACGCTATATGTGTTAAAAGTCAATACTTAATCTATGGAATGGCCACACCATTTTAGCACATTAAAGACTAAACAACATTAATCAGATCTGTGCCAAAGCCGATAGAATTAATAAAAATTACAAATCAGTTGTGAAGCAAATAGTTTGCTACAATGAGTTGACTGGGTCTTATGAGCAGCGATATAGAACCCAATTACTGATGATGTGTGTTAGTCATACAAGATAATGTACTAAAGGCATGTATATTTACAACTATCCAAAAACAATTGGCAGTGTCCTGCTAGTAGGTTAACATTGGTCATAGAATTGTAAAAAGATATAGCACATTTAGAGGAGTAAATGTGTTTTGTGTTTCAGTTACCATTAGCAACAGTCATATTTACATACATATTTTAATTTAATGTACAGATTTATTGTAAATGATTATCATTATTGTGCCATCAATAGAAGTGGAATTTGAAATGACAGCATTTATAGACAGATATCAAAATTATTCTCTAGAACTGGTAATCATTTCCTGTTATATATAAAGTCAAACAGATCTTAATATTTGTCCTTCCCACTATTTTAAATCAAACAAATTTCATCTTCAGATTTGTTTAAGCACCATTTTATACAATCTTTATGGACTGTTGGAACTATTGTGGGCATAGGTTTTGCTGTCTTACAATCTTTAACAATTAAACATCAAATAAAAAGATACCTTCTTCAGAACAGTGTATTATTTCTAATGCATTGTAAGATGAACAGTGTATGGTGCTCTGGTTTTAGTTATAATTGCTGGTCCTGACTGACTGGCAGTGAAATTGACCAGCTGAGAAAATATTTTGTGCCATAAAATTAGATATTTGAAAGAATATCAACTTAATATACCATAAATACTATTGTGTAGTATTTCTTCATTAAACACCTATAAATTGGTTTAATAGAACTAAAACTAGAAATGATCTCTGTCCAAATTTTGTGCTCAATTTGAAAGTATTTTGAAATGGATGTTTGTTGAAACATCTATCTATTAGAACTATTCATTTGCTTTAATAAACATATTAATCTTAATGTATACTCCTTTATTTTACAAGATATGCAAATACAGTATTTGGAAAATTGTGAGAGTTCTCAGTTTATAATAGTACATTTGCACAGTAACTTGAAATTTTGTGTAATTTATTTTGTTCTTAAGACATTAATCAAATTACAGTACAGAAAAACAGCTTTCTGTTGAAACTTGTGTACCAGATATACCTTAACTCAATTTATCTTTATATTAACTTAACTATTTCCAGGAACATTTCTAAAGTTAAGAAGTGGCACCACTTGATTTGATAAGTCCATATTTTAAAACTAGAATCAATATTCTTGTCTAGGATAGAGGATGGTGTTTAATCTAATTCAATTAAGAACAAAAAAGCAGACACAATATTTACATATTTACATACAGAATGAACTGCTGATGTTAAAGAGACATTCACTAAAGTCAGTCATTCAAATTAGATTTTTCAATTGATTTGATTAGATTTCGCTGTTCTAGTTATTCCCTAGTGAACTTCAGTTTCAGAAATTCATTTGTAAATGGTATTTATCATAATGTTATCATTTTGTCAAAAAATATAAATGATAGATTAAAATCATACAATATCTTGCATATTTCATTAAGAAAACGGTATGCAAAATATTTGTTAAAGGGAAATTGTAATATCTACCAAGAAAATGATTGTGTTTAATTTTAAATGATATCTTATTCAAAATAAATATAGACTCACGAAAATTCAAGCAATGGCCTAGCAGATCTGGCTCTAAATCTGCACACAATCTAATTTAAACACCCTTGATTCAACTTGATAGTCAAATCATATTTTTTTTTACCTACTGGCAAAGACCTCTAATGTTCTAACGGCTCTTTAAGCATTTTTCTTTGGTTCAGTATTAAGTGTTAATTATTCTTGTGATAAAAAAAAATGCTTTTAGATAAAAAAGATGCTTTTAGATAAAAAAGATGCTTTTAGATAAAAAAAAAATGCTTTTAGATAAAAAAAATGCTTTTAAATAAAAATCAACTGTACTTATTAATCTTTATGATAAATACTGACAGAAAATCTTGGTGTTTCCATAGTGAAATATATAAATTTAATTTAGGATTGCAGAAACATGGAAATTGGTAGGATAATGAGTTTGAATTTATGCCAAAATAATTGAAATATAGGATAATGTTGAACTGATGATTCCATTATATTTTCAGGTAAGGGTGATGTTAAAGATATGTTCTCCTATAGTTCCTGGACAGCAAGAACAAGGACGAAGTTTTCTAACCATCGACCCCCGCCGTAAACAAGTGACGGTACATGACCCGACTGCTAGTGGATATATGACGTCAGCCAGTCGAAGATCTGCTGTGGCCGCCCCTAAGATGTTTGCTTTTGATGGAATCTTTTCTCCAGACGATTCTTTGGTAAGATATTAGTAATATTCAAGTCACTTGAATACATGAAAACTATTTGAACACAAATTTAATTATAACATGATTCTTTTAATTTCTGTCTTGTTCTTTCAGCCTGAAGTATGTGCTGGCAGTCTTTCTGACATTTTACAATCTGTTGTTAGTGGTGCTGATGGCTGCCTGTTTAGTTACGGACATTCAAAACTTGGTAAGTATTAACATTATAGGCCTACATAACCAATTTTAATTAAAAAGGGGTATGGCAACAGAATGTTAGTAAATATACTTAATTAATTCTTTGAATAATTTTCCTTCAGGTAAATCCTTTACAATGGTAGGAAAAGATCATTCACCACAGACTCTAGGAGTAATACCTTGTGCTATAGCCTGGTTATTTAAATTAATCAGTGATCAGAAAGAAACGACAGGAGCAAGGTTTTCTGTCAGAGTTTCGGCTGTAGAAGTTTCAGGAGCACAAGAAATATTAAAAGATCTATTGGTGGACTTCAGTAAAGGTAAAGGAATTGCATGCATAATTGTATACAACGGGGATTTAATGGCTGAATGGTTTAGAACACGCACTTTAGATCATAGGGTCTGTCATTGATTCAAGTGGTGTGGTTTTGATTCCCCATTTGTACCTGACAATGAGTAGGGTTGTCTGTACAACCTCGTGGGTTATCTCTTGGTCCTCTTGTTGCCTTCTACTGCTAAAGATTCCTATGCTCAAACAAATTATTAAAATAATATTGTATCATGTTTGTCTCGGAATGACCCAGTTTTGTTACGATTTAAGTTACACACTATCTCTCCTTATAATTGTATGGCCTGTATAATAGTGTTTTACTTTCATTCTTTCATGTTTTAATACACGAAAACACTTCCAGGAATAGTCATTTATAATATTTTTAGTAAAACTGTTTGCTTAATATTTCAATTAAAGATTAGATCGTCATCATTTGTTATAAATTTTAATTTAATTGTCATTGTCAGACTTTTTCCTTTTACACTTGTTTAACATAAGGGAGATACAAATTATTTTTGTCCCTTTGTTTTGTTTTTTTAATTATTTGTATAGACGATATTCCCAGTGAATTTGAAAATGAACAGAGATCTCTGTTTTAAAACACTGTAATGACTCAATATTTGTGCCTATTTCCATGATGGTGTCTCTAGAGAAAGCTTGATGAATCGTTTGTTGATAGCGTCTGTTTTGCGGTAGAATGGACAAAAACTAGCACCTTCTTTCGTTATGTAGTTATTTTAGTTCAAAGAAAACCTGATTAACCCTTGGTAAACATGAGCAAGAGAAAATGTGTCCATTTTGACAGCTGGAGTAGTATTATCGTAACCATATTCACCAATCAAATATCCGCCTGCTACCTCACAACAATAGACATTTAATCTCTAGTCTCTTACAACAAGACTCTTACTCACTAATAAAGCTACAGAGCAAAACTTGTGCCTAAGATCGACAAATCAGATTCTGTGCAACAGGCACTAAAATGTTTGAATATAAAAATGATATTGCTCTCACCAGTAAATTCCTTTATATGAGTCATTGGATTAATTAACAGTTTAGTTAATTAGCTGAAGAGGATCAATTTATGATAGTTGAGATTAGCAGGAAGAATGACCATATTGTCCACAACTAGTGCAAGGATTAGATGGTAAAATGAGATGATGACAACCAGAAATCTGTGTTTATCAGACCACCCTGTATGATTAGATATTGAACTTCTGCTACCATGTGTCATAGTGTGCACTATTTACAAATAAAATTGAAATTGTAGACAGAAACAAGCTGGGTCTGCTCCCATCAGACCAGCAACATGCGCCTTCTCCTCTAATGTAAATAAACCCATGGCTTGTTCTCAAATCTCAATAATTAATCAGCCTATAATGCTTCCTAATTAAATGGTATGGAAAAGAAATTAAACTTCTAAATCATTTCAAATTATCCATAGAAAGTAAATAGATACATGTTTCCACTAACCTTAGGTGTGAAGGCAGTTTTCTGCATTGAGATATTTAATTGTAAACTGATGCAGTAAATGACTCTGCATTTGATTGGAGATGTCTGTCTGCCATGCTCATTTAACTTTTGTTTATTTATACAGTAAACTTGGCTGCATTTTATGTGTAACATTTGTGATCATTTAAATCATTACAATTTAAAATTTTCTAATGCTGCATTTTCAATTAAAATTATTTGAATGCTACATTGAATTCATGTAATGAGCTTAACTAAGAATGACTGAACATACTTATTTTACTTATATTAAACTGAATATTTTGTGTTTTGGACATGAAGACACATGTTACACTTTTTTCTCAGTAGCGAATGCAATTGTCTCCCTTATGCTCTTATACTATGGACAATTGAATTAGTAGAATATGCCTGTAGGAAATGTGTGTCGACCTTTTGTCAATATGTCAAGTACTGGTGTTGCTTTGATAAATTCTTTCAAATAAACAATTATTTATTAATTTGTTATGTCTTAGCAATATTTGTTTTGACTAAGTAAAACATAAATAGATGATGATACTTTTAGGGGTGGATGGTTGTGAGTCAAATGGTGTCTATTTAAGAGAAGATCCTATTTGTGGAACCCAACTAGAAAATCAAAGCGAACTACGAGCTCCAAATGCTGAAAGGGCAGCTTTCTATTTTGATGCTGCCTTGGCTGCTAGAAATAAAAATGGTAGGTTATTATTGATCATATGTATGACAATAAATTAGGATATAAACATTGTATTGAGAAAAGTAGTCTGCTAGGCATAGGCTATTGATGTAGTTCCAGTGGCATGGTTGCTGGGGGTAAAGGGTGTGAGGCCAAGGGGTACATGTTCCCCATGCAAGCTTTTTCAGCAGGGGCACCAAAGGCACCAAAATTCTATTAGGTTTATTTTTCACATGGTTGTTTATTCACCCTGGTTAGGGGTATTGCATGACAGCTAGAGTATCATAAAGGGGCAAATTTAGACATCTGTTAAACTTTTTGATAGATTTTAACTGGTTATTGAAATTTGTTAAAATAAAATTGATCAACCCCTTAAATTCTGGGTATCAGAACCTCAAAGTGCCAATTTAGCCAGCTTGATGCATTTCAAGAAAATTTATTAGATATGTAACTTTATTGTCAACCCCATAGGGACATATTCAAGGGGCAAATACTTTATGTATTTCAACTGAATTTGGTAGATGTCCTGCAAGTGCTGGTGTTTATTCAGATTCTTTCAATTGAAATTGCTATTATGCCCACTTGGGCTCTCTTTTATAATCGGGCAGATGTTATTAAAATGTTCCTTTGAATCAATATTTATTTTTACACAGAAAATTGATATTGAATTGAAAAATATTTACATAATAACTATTTATTTACAGTGGAGGAAGATGGACGATCATCTCATTTGTTATTTACCCTACATGTCTATCAATATAGAATAGAAAAAGCCAACAGAGCCGGATTACCTGGTGGTAAGATCTATAGATCATTTCATTTAATTAAAGAAAAGAAAATATGTACATAATTGATTGTATTAAATTATACTAACATTATTCATTGTTAGAAGTAAAACATCCAAAGCAATTAAAATCTAAAATTGACAAAAACAAGAGCAACAGACAAGACAAACAGTCCAATAATTAATTCAATTTCAGGAGCCTATTTTTTTAGGCTGATATATTCTGAAATAATAGTGCAGTTGTAATTCTTTGGCAAAACCAATATTTGTTTATGAGTTTGTTTTCAAATTAATCTACACTGTTAAGCCCTTGTGTGTGTTTAAATGAAGGAATTTAATATAGACGCACCACTTTTTCATAAATCATTTTCCTAAGTAGAAATAAAGAGTTTTGTTTAATATTTTGTAACTTCGCTAATTTAATAGTAACAGATCAGATATATAGTTAACTGACGATTGTGTTTTTGTGAAGATAAAAATAGGTATATTGTTCAAAGTACTCATTGTTCATTCATTGGAAATAAAATAAAAATGAATCTTTACCATTTTGATTTATTTGAATAGTTGCTGGAGGGCGAAGTCGTCTACATCTGATTGATTTAGGAAGTACAGCCAGATCTAAAGATCCAAAAAACACTTCTCTTAGTTTATCTGCCCTTGGTAACATCATCATGGCTCTACTTAATGGACAACGACATTTACCACACAGGTAAGGAACAAGATATACCTTCAATATACTTCATAACCAGTATTGTTAATCTCTTCTGTAAACGAACAACACAATATTTCCTACATCTTTAAATAAGAAAAGGAATTCACTTCTGAAATTTATGATATGCAGTTGACATACAGCACGGTATCTTCTTTGAACTAGTTAGACCATTAATTTGTTCTAGTTTTAGTTTTAAACAAAATTAACTATTTGCTTATCAGTTGTCTGTTCTGTTTGATTCTTGCTTGAGCCAGTTTGATGGGTTCAATTTGATTTTGACTATGAAATGTCATCACCGCATTGGATAGATGGAAAAAAATCCTGCATAAAACCGGGTATGCTTACTCTTTCTGGAACACCAATGGGCTTATCTGTGACAAGGATATTGTTTTTTAGTGGGTTCATATATAGTTAACAATTATTCAGACAGTGATTTAAGATATACCAACCCTCTTGATGACATGAATTAAGGTAAAATCTCAAATCATTAGCAATAAGGGTGGTAACTTACATAACATACCAAAGGCAATAACTAAGAATTTCTACTGAATACAGAATTTCGCTTTACACCAGAATTACCATGCTTACTAAGCATGCTTACTCCTGATTAAGAAATTATCATAAACACTTGTTTTAATTACATGAGATCCGAGAAAGTAAATTAGCTACTCACTAAATGCTGTGTTAATAAATCACAATACAGCTGTATCTCCTTAAACGTATACATTACTTTTATATATTTTAATTTTTTCCCATATTGGATGTATCAAAAACTTAATTAAATGAATGAACCACTAAAGGAAAAAATCGTTATCACAAGTATGAAGTGCTTTGAGTTCATTATTGGATTGGTAAGAATCTAAGAGTATTTGGCACCCCTAACAAAGATCAAAGTTCTAAATTTAAGTTGGAGACCATCTGGTAGATAGGTCTATGACTTGTTATTGACAGTTAATGGCATTATGGTGATGACACAAAGTTCAAATACCATGAAAATACCAAACACTTAACACTTCCTTCAATCAAACTTAAACTTGATTAAGTATATCTTAAAGTCTAGCCAACTTCTCATACTGAATTGAATTTTAACAAGTGTAAGAATTTTTGATGACTTTTAAACTTACATACTTTGACTGACATTATTATTAATATGTATTTCAATGTCCTTCTTCCAATTTCATCATGTCAAATATATAAGAATGTTTGATTAATATGAAGGCTTATTCTCATGATTCCAATACATAGAAGATTGGTGGAACTAGATAATATAATAGCCCGTTCAGATGCTTAAGTTGAACTGGTTTAAAAACCCCGGGGATTGTTTAACCTGTTTAACTTTGTCGCCTGAACGCAAATGTGGGGCAAATAAACCAGTTTAAAAATCCCAGCTCGCGACCTTTCTTCGAGAAGGCGTTTTATTTTAAACTTGTTCATCTTGGCCGTCTGAACGGGTTGGCTTAAAAACCCTAGCTCCAGCTTGCTTTGAGCATGCACAGTACGCTGTAGGTTACATTCCTGTGAAAATATTGGGGTCAGGCAGTGCCAATGTTATCGAATGCGTGCAAGAACCGAATAAAGAATATGAAGCTACCCATGCATAGTTAACTGTAACCTCCGACCGAAGAGGTCAGAATAGTTAAACTGTTTTGGCTTATAGTGCGTGTGAACGCAACATGGCGCTGTGTTAAAAACCCCCCCGATTTTGAACTGGTTTAAAAATAAGCGTCTGAACGGTATATTAGATCCCACAATAAATCTGACATTCCTCTAATTTTTCATTTTGGCCTTTTGAAGTTTACATTAGTTTCTTGTGATTTTACACCACCATCTTTAATTGTCTGTAAATGTAATGGTTCTACAAGCGATGACATAATTTATACAGATTTCTTTGGCCTATAGACAGTAAAATGTTAAGCATACACTTTTTTTGAGTTTTTGTTATTTTCATATTTAATATGTTGATTAATGATAAATGAAAATTATGCCAAACCTCAATTGTCTCAAAGTTTTACAAATTTTGCTCTGCATGTTACTATGTCATTATTTATACCAGTATTTTCACAATAGATTCTCAGTTTCGGTACTTTAATAAGATAAATTCATTTATGATGTAGAATTATTCAAAGCAAAATAAACAATTTAGCTAAGTTCATAAGAGTCACAAATATATTTTTATCTGTCAGCAAACTGACTCTTTAACATCATGATGGCATGATTCAGTAAGGTTTGGTATTTTGGTTGTAAAAGGCATTCTTTAAGATCCATATTTGACAGAATAACCTCTAACCACTATATCCAGTGACTGTCATTAAAAGATATGGCACTACAGAAATGGGATAGATTTTTCTCCATCAGCAAGTATAACCATAAAAATAAAATTGAAGAGAAGAAATAAAGTTTGCTCATGTGTTTAGATTAGAAATATTTCTAGTGAAGCATAATTTTGATTAGCGATTTATTGCCCAACGTATAAAATTGGTTTTGGTCCTATGTTGATATATTTTGGGCTGATTTAATAAGATTAATGGACGACTAGCTCTAATGGGAGAGCCATTTTGTGAACAATCGTAGGCCTGTAAGATATATATCTTAATCAATATACAATCCTACTAGCTACATCAAATACAGGAGAAATCGACAACAACTTTCCTTTAGCTTTATGTTAGACTTTTACTCACATAAATAGTCCAGGTTATGGGAGAGAAATGCATCTCGTTGAAGTTTATGTGGTAAAAGGTTAGAAAGTGGCCTATTTGGTATAACTTTTCACGTTTAATCAATGATTCTTGACTGATCAGTTTGCAAATGTCCACAAATTAACTCAACACTTAAATTCTTTCGTCAATGATTACCATATACATGTAGCCACAGATCGATTAAAATGCATTTCAACTATTTGTAAATGTTACAAGATAAAATGAACTGCTTACTTTAGAGAAGTTTATAAATTAAGTAGTAATAGTAAAAAATATTTCAAAGAATACACACACAAAAAAATAAAAGTATCATTTTGGTCCATCTGTTCACAATCTACTTGACCAAATTATAAATGGTATGAACAAATCAGCTGATTGACATTTTGTAGCAACACTTCCAAATTGATATATCATGCTGATTTTTTTCCAATATTTTAGGATAAACAAGAAACTAAATAAAAGTAAATTAAACTGAATGAATGAATCGATTTGTTGTTTGAATAAGCTATATTAAACAGGGTTATTGCTGTATATACGAGCATATGTATTTGAAAAGGGCAAGTTTTTTCTTAGAACTTTATACTGCTGATATTTTAGTATGGCCACATAGCGTCCTTTAATATTAATATCATGAAATAAACACACAGTTCATGTATTAAATTAATTCAAAATTAAGAAATACCTACATTACATAATAATTTGAAGAAATGGTTCTCTACATGCTACTGATATATTATAATTTGAGGCATTTGTTTAATAACCAATTAAAATACAAGAAATAATTAAATACTTTATATATGTATTAGGATATCTAGATTTCAAAAAGTAATAAGGTGATTCGAACAATAATCAGAGTTACAAGGTTTTGGAAGTGCAATATGTTGCCTAGAAAAACCTATTTGAAGAAAATGCTATGCCAGATATGTATTTAGGTTTTAATAATGAGTATATTTAGAACATTTGAAAAATAACTTTGAAATTAATTTTTGTTACATAAAAAAAAATATGAATAGATATATTTTTGTTTGTGATATAATTAAAGTCTGTATCAAAAAGTTAATATTCAGCTTTCTGGACGTTTGAAAACCTTTACCATAATTAATTCTACAAGCTATTTAGTGCCTCCTTTCAATTATTTTCTGAATGAAAACAATGTCTTTTCAAAGGCCATTGTTTATTGTGTTGATAGCATTATATTATGAAATCCCCAAAACATAATCATGTGAAGTAACTTTTTTCATTCTGATAATGATTGAACTAAATGACACATTCAAATTAAAAGAACCATTTTCCTGTGATTTGTCTTGTGTTCAAGATTTTGCCTGCATATCTCATTTCTTAGGCTGTAAAATTTTTTATGTCTCTAATAGCGAATCATAAATTGTCGTAAATAGCAGCGAATTGTAAACATGAGTGCCAGTCAGCAGCAAATAAAACGGTCTGTTGTCGTTATCGAAAATTGCGTTTTTCACAGATGTATCCTTAGATGTGATGCCTATTAGAGACGGACTGGCCATTTTAGAAGGGCTAAAGCTCGTAGATTATGGTTGATGTAATAAAATTCTTTATTGGCAGGAATGGGATATATTTAATGACTACTCTAGTAATTTCAAACAGCATTCATTAATTTGCTCATTAATATTTTTATATGATAAGATTTGATGATTAGTGCGAAGTATTAGACTTGTTTATTGGTGAAGAGATCAATATAGAATAAGTGGGAATTGGTTAATGTTCATTTTCTTAAATGAAGGAGTCTACTGTTAAGTAGATTATATGTAGAAGAATGATTTTATGATAAGAAAATATATACTGTAAAAGTATGTGATAAAGGGTTTATGTGCTATAGCTGTATAATGTGTATCAGTATTTATTATTGCAGTATAATTTGCAATACAGTATTAAACATAATTTGAATGAAATATATTATCACTTTCAATTGTATTTATACCTCTAATATGCTATTGATCAATCAGAATTTCTCAGGAGACAGAAATTGGGCTGTTTAATTTGCCACTTTTGTTGAGCACACAATTTTGCATCACAGATATTAATATTTCATTTTAATGAAAAAGGACACATTACTTACACACACACACACCTAAGTAAGTGACAGCTTCTGTTTACCATATAGTTACTTCATGTATAAAAATAGATTTACCACTTTATGGTTTTATCAAATGTAAACTGAACTTCACTCAGGAATTCATCAAAAAATGGATGTAAAGAAGTTTTGATATTTTTGAAATTTTAGAAAATATTAAGGAAATTGTCCCTTCAAAATCTCAATCTCTGGAAATGGATAGCAAAAGTTCTTATGAGGAAATGGAAGGATACTTTATCTATGTAGATGTATAACTCAACAATTTTGGTTCTAGTTTAGCCCAGAAAATTTTAGCATTTTCTTCCATCTTGTTACAAATTGTTCCATAATTCAAAAAGGAGGTCTAAAAGTTTTCAGTTTTATTGTGCTGTTGGATTTTGCATTTTGACTATTAGATAGTGTTGATTATGCTTGAGATTATGGCCATATATTGTGTGAAAGGCAGCTGGGGGTCGGGCAGGGGATATGATAAAAAAAAATAATTGATCAGCAATTATTGGATGTTTTAAAAAATGATCATCCAGTTATAAATAATCCCTGATCAGAACTGAATATTCGCCAGTCCTCCACAGTCACGTCAGTGGGAGTTAATTAGCTCAAAATATTAACTTTATTCCTTTTGCAAATTAAATTCTAAAAAATAAAGGTGTTTGAAGTATATCTGGATAAAGAATATTCCTATTTAGTGAAAATGGGCACATGAAATAGTAGGAGAGAAGACAATCAGTAAAAGGCACCATTCTGACTGGACAGTTTACGTCACTATGTCGTATGTAAACGTAAACAATGGACGTGCTATCGAGGCCATGTGATGTGACATCACACGTTTGCTAATGTTGTACAAAAAAAGTTATGGTCAATCACGACTGTCTATAATAATATAAGAATTGCCCCTTTTCCATAAATGTTCAACCGAACGTTTGATTTTGAATAAGAAACTTGGTTTGCAAATTCCCTTAAAGTTGATAACTGTCTGCTTATCAAATAAATATTTGATTTGCACTTACATATTTTTTGTTTAGCAAACTGTGATGCGTTGGGGTATCTGGGGACTGTTCTGACAGTGCCCTGCTCTTGTTTTTTGAATGGGCCTGTTTCTATTGCTACTATATTATTATGACGCATCTAAAGAAATTTCAGAAATCTTTTGTTTAATATTTTTCAGGGACAGTAAAATAGCTCAGTTACTACGAGATTCACTTGGTAATACAACATGTCGAACATGTATTATAGTTCATGTATCATCAGCCTTACCTCATCACGCAGAAACGCTTCAAGTTGTACAAATGGCTGCCAGGATGCATCGTATGAAACGCAGAAAGGCCAAGGTTTGTAATCATTTTTTTGTCTACATGTCTGATTGGTATAATTATTTGAATTTCACCAAATTCTTTATATCCTAGATCTAGATAATAATGTCTATTATAAATTGGAATCAGTTCCATACTTTTCTTGCCTTTAAGCATGTAGATATTAGGATGTAAATAATCAGCAGTATATCTCAATCAAACCATTCAGCCTCCCAAGTTTTGATACACTTTGTAACTTAGCAAAACGACTTGCATATAATGAATGAATGAAATGGGGTTTAACATCCTAATTTTTGGTATCTAGCACCTTACTTACTGAGCCACTTCGGCTCCCGGCATGCATGGAACATTCAGTGCTAGTTGCATATCAACGATTAGGCAGTCATTCACTTAGCAAGCAAGTACAAGACGCCCTTTAATATTATATGTATGGCCCCTGATTGTACGGAAAATCACGTTTTGGTACGATTTTGATAAAACTTGAAATGTATGTTTATAACCCAAGGAAATTGGTTCCTGTCGATTTTCGCGCATATCAGAACGTAACTTCCAGGATTATGGACCCCGATTGTTTGAAAAATCGTGTTTTTAGCTTGTGGTCCCTCTTGAAATCACAATTTGTATTCAATTTTAAAAAATGCTTATATATATCACTGTTACAACCTAGTGATGGTTGAGTTGGAATTTCATGAAAATCCGACAGAAACTGCCCAACAAAATGGCCACTCCTTGTGTGCAAATAGTGTAAAAGTATGTAAGACCAACGTTGTGGACCCTCTAAAAGTCACAGTATGTGCTTATTGGACCATAACTTCCTGTGATTGTACTAAAAAAATCACTTATTATTTTTTAGCTTGTTCTCTGTCCATCTCTTGCAAAATGTGGGCATATCTTGCATGGCAACCGCTTTTTTGTATATTCCATTGCCAAACGCCCCATACTGATTTTCTGAAGAATCATTCTTTCTGGGTGGTTATTTGTTTTTAGCAAACATTTTGCTGTTGAAAATAAGGAATGGTTCCTACTGCTGAAATATTTGCTCAAGTGAATTTTTTTTAAGCAAACTACATCCAACCAAACCAAATCTGGTTTTGCATGAACAGGGGTGTTTAGACTTTGTCATAAATTCTATATATATGCAGAACTATAAAACTGCCACATGTTATAAAACAGTTATATAGCTAAAGAAGCAAATTGTTTAACAAATGTTTTTAATTTTTACAGCAGATATCAAGTACAAGTTCTGAAGATAGTTCTACAGATGGAAGTGGTAATTTTAGACGGCCATATAAAGGTCTGCGTATGGGAACCTTGCGTGAAGACATGTTTGTGTCTTCTTCTCATTCAGATCCAGACAACTATACATCAAGTAGTGAACAATCATGTGATACGGCCATATTCTTAGGATCTAGCGGACAGTCTTTAAGTGATCGTGATTTTACTGACAATGAGGGTCCACATCGATCTGTGCCTAGAACAAATCCGCGTCTTCCGCGTCGACCTGGTGGATCTCGTTCCTCAGGTGATGAAGGTTCTATGTCAGATAGTGGCAGAAGTATGACATACTCAGATCATCAGCGTCTAAGGCCCAGGATGGGTGCTTCCCCTATGCAGCAGAATCATTATCATGTTATAGAGTCCCAGTCAGCCCCATGTTCCCCGCAACGTCATCCCCATTATAGCCAACATAAGATTTCTCAGGTAAAATCCAAACAGTTTCATCCTCACTATTTATCAAGTTTAATAGAAGCAGAACCACATCCGGACAGAAGTAGAAAAATCAGAAGTCATTCCAGCAAGCATCAGAAGTCAGTTGGTACATCTGCTGGTGTAGGTAACAGTGAACATTGGGTTGATGGTCCTATCTATGCTGAACCAATGGAAGTTGATCCGGAAACGAATTCTCACAAGGTTCATGAACATTGGATAGACGGTCCACAAGTTTTCAAGAAAAGTCCACAATCTCCCAAACCTGATTCTTCAACTCGTAAAAAGTTAAAGAATGTTGTGGTCAGTTCAGAAGAACGATGGATTGATGGACCCCGTGAAATGATTTCTAGTGGAAGTAAATCAACAAATAAAAATCAGGCCATGCATACATTAAGTACTGTAAACGATAACCAAGTACCACCTTCTCCCAGTCCTAAATTAAAACATGCTACAACCGGTGAACGAGCTTCAAAACAAGCCATTATAAAACAAATACCCGATATTAAAATACGACCAGAAAGTAGTATAAGTGTAGAAAGTAATACTTCAACTCATGCTGAGGCTGCTACATCACGGCCTGTCAGTATTTCTAGTAATGACGGACAGATGAAAGATTGTATTGATATCAGTGAAAATATGGTTGTTAAACCATTTGTTAGAGACTGGGTAGAAAAACATCATGATGTTCCAAGTACCATTGAATCTTCAGATAATCATTGGATGGACAATAATGAAAATACGTCTAGTCACAGGAAAACAAAATTACACGATTCTTTACTTAGAAAATTGCACACGTCTGCCTCAACTGTTCGAGATTCAACTCAGAATTCTCCAATGAGTAGTAGAAAAGCAAAAACTCTCAACCCCCGTTTGCACAAATCAAATTTATCTAAGGAAAAACATTACACAAATCGTGTCACCGAGTGGGTGAAATCTGTGTCAAATGAAATGGAACAGAGTAGTGAACTAGAACGCCACGGGTCTGTACCTTGTAAATTAAATGTGACTTTTGACAGTGGTGAACCAGAAATGAATATTGTTGATGCTAGTTATGATAGTGTTGATACAAGTGAGTGTGTTAGTGCTAAAGATTCTATTTACGAACACGATGTGGAAAAGAAGTTGGAAAATGTGTCAAATAGTTGGAAAACCCCTGATAATTCTGTTGGGGATTCCGATTCAAACATGAAACACAGTGCTGATGGAGATTCTTATACAGATATACCGGAATATGATAACAGTTGTTCAGTGTTAGAACCATGTAGATTATTATTATTACGTAAACCTGATGGAGCTTCAAATCCTAATTTATCAAAAGACTTTTTCAGTGAAACTTGTGTAATTTCCAGTGAGCATAATGAAAGTAATACGACTTGTAATCAACTTTCAGGATATATTCCCGAAAAAACTACCTCAACTGTCCTGTCTGGTTATAAACCCGAAAAAGAACTCTTTCCTGGAGTAGGTGCTTATGATAATACTAATACGAACTCATCGATGAAAACTGTTAAAACAAAGCCTTCTCCTGTACACGGTTTGGTTAAATTAAGTACCGTCCAACTTCCATCAAGTTTAAAATCGAGTCAACCCGCAGCTAAAACATTTATAGATATGTGTAGTTCACCGGAAAGAAAAAATGTGAAAAATGTGACTCAATCTGTTCCTTCGAAGTGCAACGAAAGAGAAGCGAAGGCTGTCAAATTTAAAAGTGCATCGAAAAAAACGTGTAAGAAAGTACATTTAGTAGAACCTCAATTTATTCACAGTACTCCGAAAGAAAATAAATGTGGGAAAAAGGAAAAAGAAATGTTAATCACGCAGCGAATTGTCAATGTACAGTTAAGTGAAAAACATAATGATTCGGACAGTGGTAATGATAGTGGTATTGTAGCAGCAGTAGAAAAGAAATTGTTGTCCCCATACAGTAAAATAACTAAACCTCGTACCCCGAGTCATTCTAGTAGTGGTCATGGTAGTGATAATAGTAGTTCTATTAGTACCGAGTTACATTGTCATCATGGTAGTAAGTCGGATAAAATACACGGTGGTACCAGTAGTGGATATGAGAGTATGTTGAGAGAATCAGAAGCTAGCTGTTCTGATACTGAGGATATCAAATTAGCAGCAGATAAAAAGAAAAATACTCTTCGAAAAGGTAAATTTTTTATGTTAAAGTATGTTTAAAGACTTGAAAATGAACCTTTTTTAACTGAATATGACATCATTCTACCCTGTATACAGTCTTCTGTAGATCACCAACTGAACATTGGCATGAACGTTTATCCATGAGAATTATTATTATATAAGTAAGCTTATATAATAAGACACAACTGTATGGTCAAAGTCAACCAATACATGTAAAAAAAAGTTTTATATTTGCTCTAGATGTGAATTAAACTCTTATTTTTAGATTCAAACTTCTGCTGAAGATTGGCAGATAGTAGACAAAAATGCAACAATACATGTGTCATGCAAGGAAGGGAATGATCTTAAACCTGTCCTGTTGGACAAGATGTCATTTATAATATATATGAATTATCCCAAAAGCTTATTTTAAATCCATTTGGTTTGCCTAGAATTCTTTGTTATCATAAAAATATGCCAGTAGTTCTTAGATTACCATCTCTTGACAAATTCAGGATATTAATTTATGATGTTATTTTATTCAGGTGGTAAAAGAAGTAGATCCGCACCAAGTCGTGCCATAGAAGTAGTAACTCTTGATACTTGTAACCTTAGTCCTATCAGTAAAATGAAACCAACTAGCCCTTACCGTGATTCTCGTCTAGCAGCTAAATTAAAAGACAGTCATCTAGAAATGAAGACAATGACGGTTAAAGAAGCAGAGAAATATCAGAGAAGGAGATATGAAGAGGAGGTAAGTAATGCCATTTTTATATGGCCACATTGGATAGTCTATGAATTTAGTCTGTTCTGACACATAAGTTAAACTTGTTTAAAAAACCTGGATGGTTTAAATATAAGCTTCTGAACAGCCTATTAGTGGCAACCTTTATGGTCTACTGTGGGCATAGGTTTTGCTGTCTGATGACTTCAGTAACAACATGTCACAGTAGCCTTATTTTTTTGCATTGTGAAGGAGATTAACCTAAATTTACATGCCAGCTCAATCACATAGCACACTTTCCTTTTTAGCGGAACTAGGGGTTACCCCTAACTGGTTAGGTTAGAACTGCTGTTCTAGCTTGAAAAATTTACATGCCAGCTCAATCACATAGCACACTTTCCTTTTTAGCGGAACTAGGGGTTCAAAATCTTCAACATTGAAAACACGATTTATTTGTCAAATTAAATCAACATTCATGTTGTGATCTTACCGGAAAAAGATGGGCTTTTGATATCCAATATTTAAGACAAAATAAACATTTTACCATTGGTACACGAATCGTGTACCATAATGCGCTTCAGCCCCAGTTGTATCAAGAGACTCGAGGAACGAGGCTAAACACATTGCACCAAATCAAACGGCGTATGTAGACTGGAATAACCAGACGCTAGAAATTTGCACTCGCTTGAGACTGCTGGCTTTTTTCGCCGAACATAACTGATTTGAAATTGGAGTAAAAACGGAAACCATTGAATGTAAATCAGCTTATATACATTCATATTACAGTATTATATGTGTTGCGACCTACTCTTGTCAATTTTTAGGTCCCAAATGTTAGCGATTTAGCTCCTTTAAATTAGAATTATTTAAAATATTTTATATTTATAGTTCATTGTCAAGGGTACTGTAGCTAGACAGCATTATAACATGGGACTATCAGATTCACAGTCTGACTGCAAATTATAGCTAAGAACATGATAAATAATCTTGTTTGGTTCAAACATTTATTTTTCTATTTTACAGCATTTAATGATTGTAGAAGAAGATGTGAAAACTGAATCAACTAAGGATACAATATCATTAGAAAGATCATCAGGCTGGAATTTTAGCTGTAAATTTTGGATGTGTTTTTCATGTAAGAAACCACAAGATCAGGAATCTACGGCTGTATAAATGACAATACAAGTGAATGATATATTCATTGTCTAAATATAAAGTGATGAAAATTACCCTTTTTCTGATCAAATGATATGAAATGAAACCTGTGAAAATGAAAAAAAAATATGGATTTGGTATCTTTTTCTTCCATCCTCTTGGCTTTGTAATGTGTCAAAAAACTTTAAAAAGTTGGAAATATGTGCAATATGTTGATTTAGTTGAAGTTAGACATTGTAACTGATGACTATATTTGATTATGATTAAGTCTATAATTTTTACATATAATATATTTTATGTAAAACATCCAGTAACCTAACTAAACTATAGCAGATTTTATTTTTGTAATCACTGATTTCATGGCTATATTTGTCTATTTAAATGTTCCGGAATCTCAGTTGTATCGATTGTATATCTGATCAAAATTCAAAAAAATGTCTTATAGAATAATGTTATTATTTGAATATCTTTAGAAATGTTTATGAATTATAATTTAATACAAATGTTTGTTTTTACATTACATTGTACTTATTTAAGAATTTTAACATATAAATCAATCATCTTCCCATGGTCAAGGTACTGTAAGACAAGAAATTGATGTGAACTTAATGCAATCTAAATGAGGTTACATGTACACATTGGCTGCGCTTAAAAGAACTCAAGGCAGTTGGAATTCAAAATAAGAAAAGGCTGTAGCATTAATTTCTTGTTTTACAATGCATGTTCACAATTCACAAGTGTACTACTTTGACATAGACATATCTAGTTACCTTTATCGAACTGTGTGAGAGTCGAAGGTCTAACTTGTTTTGTTGGAATTATTGATGACAAATCAATGTTTTTAAATTGATGTCTTATTGCCAAAAGATCTTCAGTACTTTTCCTTTGTTTTTGTGTAGTTAAGGTATAACATCTCTGCTTCTATTATATCATGATGCATGTAAAATTGTGATATGCAATTTGATGCAAATCATCAAAAATCAAGTGGCCACCTGCTGTTTCATTCTTTTGTCAAGATCAATATGCATTTTTGTACAATTATTTTGTGTAAATTTTTGTAATTTTCTATTTATATATGAAATATATATATATACAATATGGTGCTGAATGTGAGACAATGTTTTTATATTAAAATAGAAAAAAAAATTGTAATTATTGATTGTATTTAGAAAACATGTAGGATTACAGAAGTAGATTTGTATATAGATTTGTTATGGAGTATAATGCTTTTGTTATTTATAACTTGGAAATACTCATATTGTTTCATCTTGCATTTTGAGGAGAGTCTTCATTTGCCATTTGGTACAGAAAAGTAGGACATTAAAATCCCATTTCATTTCATTTTGTATCTTGAGGACAGTGATGCTATTAACATTTTCTAACAAGTAAATACAGTTTTATATAGCATGACAAACAGAATAGCATGTCACATAGGATAATTTTCATTTACTAGAAAATGATATATTTGTTCCACCTAAACATTTTTTTTGAATTTTAATGCTTTAAAAATAATAACTCTAGATATTGTTGTGAAATAGATTGTTTGGATTTTAATTCCCTAACTTGGTCAATGTGGAATGGATTTTGTTTTATACAAGGATGTAATTTTAAATTGGTGATCCTGCTAATCATCGACAATAGTGTTCTTTTGTCAATAGCACCCTAAGTATTGCAAAAAGTGTCCGACAAGGAAGGATTTGGCACCTCAATCTAGTCTAATAGTTGTATCAATCCAAAGCATATACTGATGAATAGTTATTGTTATATTGTAGTTAATGTTTTGAACTATAAGTAGTTTAATACTTATTTATGATAGAATTGTTTGTAGATAAATTAGTATCTATATGTAAAACATCAGTAAGCTGTGTGGTTTTGTAGCCTAGGTTACTGTATGTATATTTGTGTATTTTGTATATTAATATGATCTATTATAGTAATAAAGAAGGGTATAATCAGTACATAGAAAATGGCTTATATGTTTAAATGGGTTACAAATCACCCTGGGTGCCAAAATATATGGGTCCTTTTCTCTGGTAAAACAAATACTCATGGTATGATGCAAAGACTGAGTTTTATTAAAGATACATTATGGAAGATTTAGATAAAGAGTTAGCCATTCTTGCTATAATAGTTCGATAATAGATAATGTAAAATGAATAATTTGAAAATTTCATTTAAATTACTCTATTGCAAGCGAAAATATTAGCCTTTGAAGGTTTGACAAGATGTGTGCAATAATTTCAACCACCATACCGGTTGTTCGAAGCCGAAGCCAAATCTCGCTCCTCCATTTTTAAATTAAATCAAAATATGGCTGAACGGTTCTAATCTATTTAATATCGGAGAAAGACCTGCAATAGGCAGATTTTGTTCTTGCATAATGTTTGTTTAAGGGGAGCTATTCATCATCTTTGTAAGTTGTCTCTTTCATATGGGACCTTAAATTTTGATTTATCAAAATGATAAGAAACTCTTTAAAGTCCAAGGGCAGACTTCCAGCATGATTTCCTCTTGTCAGTGGTGCAGGATGGAGGACCTGGCAAGGAAAAGCATCTAGTTGTTTGGATAGGATGGAAATATGAGGTCCTGTGTATGCAAAAGATTCCTTGGAAGCTGGAATTTGATGCAAAGTAAGTGGAATGCCACTATCCTGTCAAAATGTCCCTCAGCACACTGTATGGTGTATGCCCGTCTTCATTAGCCCAGTTGGAGCAGAGCTGAGGTTTCTTAGAGTCTTTTACATAGGTACCCAGTCAGTGCAGAGGTACCCGGTCAGTGCAGAACAGAGTTAAACCCTATTTCATTTCTTTAACAGGTTTACCATTGGTCGCTACGAAAAATCACCCCAACCCTTGCATTATATCCATAGGAATTACCATATTATGTTAGTCTAAAAATTACCAGAATATTGTGTTGATAAGACATCAAACCCCAGGCCATTCCATCCATGTGTCTGGTCTCCTTTAATACTTCCCAGAGTCAAACTTTTGATGTAACAAAAGTCTACTTACTATCTTATAACCCCTGCTATTAAGTATATTGTATGTAAAATGTGTATAACCAGAATTTAATAGCTTAATTTGTTTGATTATTTGAAATTCCAGTGATAAAGTCATGTCCCTGCCTTTCAGTGTGAACAATAAATATTTAATTCTTGTCTAGATGCTGGCAGAATGACATTTAACTAATCAGCTGTGTTTTTATATTTTCTTAAGATTGCACGTAGGGGTCTTTTGCTGTGGGATGAAACCAGAGAAAACCCTAGAGTTCAGTCAAGCGACCACTACTGCTTGTCACATACTGTAGACTTCAAAATGATCCTAAAAGAGTTGGCCTTTAACGCCTCTCCAGTAGGTCTTGCATGTAATATGCTCAATACGCTGATAATAACCACGTATTAGTAATTATTTGCACAAGGTTTTTTGGTATGTTTTTATACGCCCATGTATATGTATCAACCTATCTTTTTTGTTGCCAAACACGTTAGTTTAATTCGAATCCAAATATATAGTTTTGGTAGGACACAATTTGGTATGTAAACTAAATTTATGTAGAATAATAGATAAAACACCCATCTTTAATGTGCCTAAACATTCCTGCCAACTAAGTCATATACCCAGATGCATTTGTAAATTTATTAGAATGGTATTTACCAGGTTTGTATTGATGTAAGCATGATTTCAGTTTAAGCTGTGTCTGTGAAGTGTAATTAATGTATACCTTGTTGGAAATCTATTATTTGACAGTATGCAGAAAAGGCCTAAGGTTTAGGGAAAGAGTCTAGTCCAGGACAAATTAAGTTTAGATTTTTAGATGTTGGAGTGTGTTCTTATTGTTGCCTTTTGTCTAGTTGCAGCTAATGTGTGTGTTTTCCTGTGCGTCAGACAATATTAGAATGAAGTTATAATGTCATAATTTAGAAGAATGTCTTTTCTGATGTGATGTTAAAATGATGTTAATCTGAATCTGCGGTTTAAATCTATGTCCTCTTGACTTGTCATGTTATGAGATTGATGTCCTGAAATATTATTTAACATTGTCATCGAAGAATAATGTTCTGATGTTTAGAAAATTATTCAGCAAACCTACCGCAATACTAGCAGCCATAGTAGTATGTCTAGTTAGCAGCCGCTACAGATACAAATGTGTGTTCCAAACCCACAACACTAGACCTTAAGATCTAGAGTGCATGCATTAGAACATTCGGCCATCTAATCTCCCCATTATCTTTATAAATAACAGACAACATATAAATATACTAGTATATAAAGTGTATATTATGTTTGTTAATATACAAAAAGACAAATTATACATCTTGATTTTACAATTAAACTTCATTTCATTATGTGAGTAGATTATGACAAGCTGGAAGCTAACAGGTTAGTTTCAGAAACAAAAAAAAATCATCTCTTACAACATTTATTGATGATTAAATTAACAAATTAACAAAATGATTTCTTGAATTCTCAAGTCTTCAAACATTTAATATTTTTATTTTCCACGAAAACTTTTGAAAAAGTTTTTGAATTATTTGAGATTAATTTAAGTGGCTAGAAATTATAAATCATCTTAAATTACTGTTGGGTTTTTGTTTCAGAAAACATTTATTTATACACCTTACAAAAAATTCTACATTCCTGATTTTTCTTTGAAATTAAATTTAAGATTGATTTGAATAATTGAACTATAACTTAAATAGTGTTTTATTTTGAAGAGTTCATACAAGTCAAATATATTTGAATATATTACATAGACTGAAAGACATAATATGAATAATTATAGAAACTTTGTACAATTTAACATGGAAAAATGGTTATAGGATCTGATTTCTATTATGCATATTAGCATGATTAATTACAATTATTGTACCAGCCATAAAATTTTCTAATATGTACAAATACTACTTACACCAACATATATGTCGTTTGAGTATTTAGACATTATGTCCTTTATAGTTAAAATCAATAAGCACCATTGCATATAAATATAATTCTTTCAACTAAGAACATTACTTAACTATATACATGTACATACTTTTATCAAAATGCATATAGCATATAGGATCTTCAATTCCTTTACTTTAGACTTTAATTTAGTTTAATAAATAAGAACTTAACAGAACAGTATCCAAATTCCATAATTTAAATCATGGACATTGTCTTATTTATTCAATCTAGAAAGTTATCCAAACGTCAACTATATAAAAACAGAAGACCGTTTATTAAAGAAAATATCAATACTTCCTTCACGAAATTAAATATCATTGCACATAAATTAACACAACCATAATATAATAAATTTAAATATTTTTAAATTCCTAGACAAAATATTTCTCAATTCATTGTTTTAGAATCGAAACATGTGACCATCATAACATGTGACTTGCAAGCATCTACTCGTTTTTCCAGTATGGCCGTTTCATTTTGCAACGCTGTTACATTGTTTGGGTCCTCTAAATCCGCATATTCAGCAACAAATACTGAAATTATTAACATGCAGCATGCTCATTATGTATTATTTATTTTAGTAACCATAGCAACATTATCGATACTTATAATATTCAAAACATAGCTTCACATTATTTTCTGTATTCAAAATATTATCTTATACAAACAATTGTTGAATTCCATAATATGTAAATATTTCTTAACAAACAATTACACAAAAATATATATATATATATATATCCAAACACGAAGTGATTGATTATTGAATATTTAAATGATTTTAATGGCAAACAGATCAGATGATGACTAAAAATGATTTGAATCTGACGGAAAATTATGAAAAAGTTATCAAAAGTCTAACAGTAGGAGTAAAATAGGTATGATGGATGATATGTACACCCAAGTCTTGAAAATATAAAACTTAAAAAGATCCAGAATGTAGATAGGATAATTTACAAATCATGTATTAATATCAATTTTCAAGAGAAGATCAGCTGAATAGAGCTCCTTCATATTTAAGATGTCAAAGATCAAATAGTTGACTTCTGTACTGGTATAACTCAATGACAAAGCTTTGTATCTAGAGTGGGATAGCATAGATATCATGCCCCCAAAATAGTTTGACATTTAATGTTTTATTTATATAAAAAGTTTTAATTTTCAATAATTAGGGTCCATTATGTGCTTATATAAAAATAGGCATGACCAAAAATATGTGCAGTACTATATAACATACACTAAGCTACTTCTAAAAAGAAAATAACAAACTATGGCACCATATGTGAAGACTAAAAAGACTTAAATGAAAATAAATTCTGTGTCATAGTAAATATGTCAAAACAAAACAAAAATATTTTGGCACAAATGTGTGAACTAATAAAAGGAAGGAAGAATTATTGTTTTATAATTTAATGTACAAGACCAAACCGAAAATAAATTGGATATGAATCTGTCTTTTTAATATGGTGGTGAATATTAAAATATCATTCAATCAATTATCAGAAACATATCAAGCTACCAAAAATGGAAGCTCTGTGATGTAGAGAAGTATTACGGCTGTGTTGTGGTACCTGGAGACAGGCGTTACCCAGGCCTCTGGTAAAACATCGACAAGTGAATCTAAAACTATCTTTTGAAGAAACAGGTTTACGTCACAACATCACACATCAGCTGGTTGTTGTCGTGGCTTACACGAGAAGCACATGAGAAACTTACAATCAAAACTCCAGCCCGACCGTTCCATCATGATGGTATCTTTTGCCATTACAAGTTCCTGTTTTAAAGTTTCCTGTTTGTTTAGTAATTGACGAACTTGTTCCTTTCTCTCAGATGTCTAAAAAAAAAAAATAAAATCAAAAGCAATTAGTAGGCACTCAAATCTCAGTGTGGTGCCATGCACCAGGCAGGATATGTACAAAAGGTTACACTATTTGTTATAACACTTCTCATTTATTAAAAAGTTCACTTGGCTAACCATATTGTTGTGTTTCTTAGTTGCAATTATTTTTCAATTGTTAAAATGTTTATGAGACAAATCTAATTACAGATGAATGACTATGATTGAAGATTTTCATCATACATTTTATAGAGACTTTCTATTCCAATTTCAAACATATTCTGACAGAACATTAAAAGCCACAGTTTTTAAGGATGATTAAGGTTACCATTGTCTTTTGTGTTCATTACTCTTGCTGTGTTAATCTCTGTTTAGTCTGTATCAGTGTTTGAGAATTGTCTGTGATATCACCCTAGGTGGAAGCAGACGTAAAGCCCCAGAAGAAGCAGAATGGTGGTAAATTTCTACTTACCTCATCATCAGGTCTCTTTCTTTGTAACCGGTCTATATCATTAGTGGTATAAGATTTAATATCAACTGGTTCTTCTTTTGATTTGCCGTGTTTGTTCTTCATAGAAGGACTGGATGTTTTGCGCTTAGCAGCAGGACTTTGTTTACAACTATCAGGGGGACTGTCGGATGTTCGACCTGGTGCGGATCGACTCCTTCTTGTACCTTGAAAATATGACAAAAATTATACCGTAATGACGTTAGCATCTCACATCAAACAGGGTCTAAAACACTTTAATATTCAAAGATGTATTATGTAATAAAAGCTAAATTTGCCTATTGCAGGGTGTTTTTCTGGTTTCAAATGTTCTATAAAGACATTTATTCATATGATAAGTGTATACTGAACTCAATAAATCACCGGATGGCTTAGATGTTGAGTGGATTAGACAATACCTGCCCTATCTATGTTAAACAATAATATGGCAACACACAGAGTAACAGCCAATCGAAGGACTGTAAATCGAAAATTAATATGACCTGTTAATCGACAATTTTCGATTAATTTTTATCTAATTCTTACATAATGTATATTTAATAAATCCAAAAGCAGTCAAAACATTCTTCTAGATTTAAGGTGTCAAAATTTATATTTCAAACAGGCCTGGAAATAATCATCCTGTCACTGACACCATCCAGTAATACAGGCTTTGTCTGACACAATTATGTTTTCCCACACACATTTATCTTTGTGCTGATACAGGCTTTTTTTAAAGACAGTGTAGTGTAGTGTTTACACATAATATAAGCCAAACTATTTAAAGGTCAGAGTTAACTACAAATGGGCACATGTCATCATTTTGCCAAGAAAATAACTGAATGCAATGCCCAAAGCTAGCTGGGTCTGTAGTTTTTAACCCAATCTGTTGACAGCCAAGACAAACCACATTTTAAGAAAAGCCTTCTCAAAGACAGGTACAGAGCTTGGGGGTTGGGTGTGTGTGTTAAACTGGTTATATGCCACATCTTTGTGATCGACAGGGTTATTAAACCAGTTTAACTTGAGCATCTGAATATAGGTTCTTCGATTCATGACCAGTAGACAGACATTGTCAGTTATAATTTAATAGTACTCAAAATTTGTCAGGTCTGATTCCATACAATTTCAGTTCCCACGTCACATGTATGGTTATATATAATTTCCTGTTTTAATACAAAATTTAATAGTAAATAACAACTGAAGAGTATAGCTTACCATTTTTTCGCTTAGATCCCTTCTTGCGTTCCCCAGAACTTTCACTGGCACTATCGTCATGCTCAGAAGAACAGCTAGCTTCTGATTCTCTCAACATACTCTCATATCCACTACTGGTACCACCGTTTATTTTATCCGACTTACTACCATGATGACAATGTAACTCGGTACTAATAGAACTACTATTATCACTACCATGACCACTACTAGAATGACTCGGGGTACGAGGTTTAGTTATTTTACTGTATGGGGACAACAATTTCTTTTCTACTGCTGCTACAATACCACTATCATTACCACTGTCCGAATCATTGCACTGCTTTTTACTTGAATTTTCACCCATTTGTCCATTACTCACTTTCAAAGTCACTTTACAGTCTTTCTTTTTTGACTTAGCCTCCTTCGTTGAGCCATGAGATAATAGAGGTAGTTTGCTGTTTCCGTTGGGTGTTTTTGGTTTCGAATTTATTTTGGCGACACCGTTACTTGTAGAAGTACTAACTGTAACACTTGTTTTAGATTTATTTTTGTTTTCACTTGTTTTACCATTATGAAGGATGGATTTTTGTTTTTTCTCGGGTGAATTGTCTTTACTAGATGGTGTGGATGGGGTTTGTTTCGGACTGGATGATGGTGAATAAGAAGGTTTGGGTAGGGAGCTAGGCTTGACGGTGCCATTAAGTTTATGCGGAAGCGGGGGTTTAGTTTTTATATTAGGTTTGTTGTTAGATTTGTCTTTACTATTTGTTAGTGAAGTTGAGGTAGATGTTTTCTCACTTAACGTAACATTTTGTCGAGACACATTAGCCACAGTCTCCATGTTATCACTATTAATACTTAACACTGATTGGTCGATACATTTTTCACTGAAAAAGTCTTTTGATAAATTAGGATTTGAAGCTCCATCGGGTTTACGTAATAATAATAATCTACATGGTTCTAACACTGAACAACTGTTATCATTGTCCGAGGAGACCGAAGATTGTCCCTGGCTGTACGCCAGACTACTTAATTTAGCACTAGCACGAATTTCCTTTTCAGCACTTTCATTGATATCGTTAGAAAATGATTTACTACTCAATGTTTCATTGTCTGTTAACTGATTTGCAAGAAGATGCATAGATTCGAGTTTCTCTTCTACGTCCTGTTCGTAAATAGAATCTCTAGCACTAACACAGTCACTTGTATCAACACTATCATAACTGGTATCAACAATATTCACTTCTGGTTCACCACTGTCAAAAGTCACATTTAATTTGGTTTTGGAAGCAATCTGTTCGAAATCTGAATCGTGATCTGTATTTGTTTCTGCATCGGCCATAGAAACAGATGAAAAAGTTGTGTCTAAAACCTCAGGCATCTCCATAGAAACAGAACGTACCCATTCTGTAACACGATTTGTTGTTTCAGGTTCTTTAGGAAAGATAGCATCTGGTAGTATACTGTCTGATTTTTTGGATAAAGATGGTGAACTTGTTGGTGATGGATAAGATGATGATGAAGAGGTTTGTAATTTTTTGATAACTGATTCATGAAATATTGGTTTGATTGGGTTATCCGAGGTTACAATGGTATTGGGTACTTCATGATGTTTTTCTACCCAGTCTCTAACAAATGGTTTAACGACCATATTTTCACTGATATCAATACAATCTTTCATCTGTCCGTCATTACTAGAAATACTGACAGGCCGTGATGTAGCAGCCTCAGCATGAGTTGAAGTATTACTTTCTACACTTATACTACTTTCTGGTCGTATTTTAATATCGGGTATTTGTTTTATAATGGCTTGTTTTAAAGCTCGTTCACCGGTTGTAGCATGTTTTAATTTAGGACTGGGAGAAGGTGGTACTTGGTTATCATTTACAGTACTTAATGTATGCATGGACTGATTTTTATTTGTTGATTTACTTCCACTAGAAATCATTTCACGAGGTCCATCAATCCATCGTTCCTCTGAACTGACCACAACATTCTTTAACTTTTTACGAGTTGAAGCATCAGGTTTGGGAGATTGTGGACATTTCTTGAATATTTGTGGACCATCTATCCAATGTTCACTGACATTTTTTGGTTCAGTATAAATGGCACTTCCGGGTCCATCAATCCACTGTTCACCTCTTACAGACTGTTGACCATCTTGGCATTTTTGTCGTCTGCTTGAAGAGCTGTGTGCCTTCTGACTCTTCTCTGGTGTGTGTGGACTCGCATCTCTCACATCTGCAGGCATCTGTGATCTGGTAACCAGCGGTTTAGCATGAGGATTCATTCTTCTAGAAGAGTGTGAAGGATGGTGTTGTGGTGAATTGGGAGCTGAATGCATCTGGAGAATATTCTGAATTGGTAAATCTGCTCGTGCAACTGGTGACTCTAAACCAGGACTGATGAACCTGTGATGATCTGAATACGTCATGCTTCTACCACTATCAGAAGCAGAACCTTCATCTCCCGAGGAACGAGATCCACCAGGTCGTCGTGGAAGACGAGGATTTGTTCTAGGCACAGATCGAGGGGGACCCTCGTTGTCAGTAAAGTCACGATCACTTAACGATTGTCCTCCGTTAGATCCTAAATAAATGGCCGTATCGCACGATTGTTCACTACTTGATGTATAGTTGTCTGGATCTGAATGAGAAGAAGAATATAACACATCTTCTCGTAATGTTCCCATTCTTAATCCTCGATACGGTCTTCGAAAATTTCCACTTCCATCATTAGAACTGTCTTCAGAACTTGTACTAGACATCTGTAAAATAGATTATGCGACATTAAGACTGAAGACATCAAGAGGAGCATCAATGTGCCCAAGGATCGTTGCATGTATTAATTTTCAGCAGCTTATGTTAAATGTATAAAAATATGCAATGCCTACCAAATAATTCAAAGCTATATTATCTCTATTTTAATAATTATGTAGACAATAAAATGATTACAAACCTTGGCCTTTCTGCGTTTCATACGGTGCATCCTGGCAGCCATTTGTACAACTTGAAGCGTTTCTGCGTGATGAGGTAAGGCTGATGATACATGAACTATAATACATGTTCGACATGTTGTATTACCAAGTGAATCTCGTAGTAACTGAGCTATCTTACTGTCCCTGAAAAAAATATAGAAATATCTTTGAATATTAGTTTCTTGCCATGAATTTATTCTTTTATGTGATCTATCTATATTGACCAGAAACCAGAAACTGAGCATGACATCAACACCGCCATCTTGGAATTGCATCATAGATGGAAGACTGTCAATCAATGCACAATTGTATAAGAAACAAGCAAACCATGTTGATTGTACTTGAATTGAAGGAGCCTTAGGCTTTTTTCTAAGAGCATCGGCCCAAAGAACAACAAGATAGGTAGTGCTTGAGGCCCAGCTCCTGATCCAAACACAGAACAGGGAAAAATCATTTGTTCTTTATTTTGGTTACATTTGAAAGTTAAGACCAGTTGTTTTAAACACTAGACAGAGATGAATTCATTTATGCGTTGTTAAAAAGACATATTTTCCCCCAAATCAAATAAAGCCATGATCAAAAGGATTTAACATGACATGACCACTTAAATTCCAGTGAGTTAATTCTTTTTAATTTATTAAAATCCTCATTAAAACACATTGGGAGATGGATAGATTTTAAATCACAGTTAACCACATCAGTTCTACTAACATCTCAGCAACTCTATCAGTCATGTTTAAGCAGAACAAATATGTGTAGAAAGGCGATGTATTTTAGGTTGACAAGTAATTGGAAGATGTTATTAAAGTTGAAGGGTGATCTAGTGATCAACATGTGTAATAATAACGACAGTGTGTAAAGTTAACCTATATATAGCGAGTAACACCAATTAATTCATCTAATCAATATGTTAACTTTTATATTCTGCTAACATCACAGGAATCGTTCTGTTTATCTATACTACTACATCCTATACTTTCACGCCAAATATCTGACCACCAAATCAAATTTTTCTATGACTATTTGCCAGTCTTGTTTAGAAGAGCGACAATTGTCTACAACAATTCATACCATTTTCCATAGAAGTAAAAACATCGCAGTTCTCGGAGGTCCAATAAAACGCCCCATCATTAGACGAATTGTGTTTTAATGGCAAATCTAACAAAATAATGAAAACTTCAAAAGATTTTGTCTTTCTTGTATTGAATACACATTACTATTGCCTGGAGGCATTACATTACATAAATATAATTTATAACATTACTTCTTTCCTAATGATACCAATTCTCTACTTCTATACTATAACGAAGTTAGAATTGCTTGAATTCCACTTGTATTGTAGGTAAACTTGTGGCAGACGAATGAACTACATCATGATATGTCATCGTTTGATATTACATCTAGAATGAAATCATTGACCAAGTTTTCAAACATGAAATAAAAATTCTATTTTTGCAGAAAACTTATTAGTTCCATTCGATTTCATTTCAGCACATTAAGCCACTGGTTTACAAATTTTAATCTTGAATTTTTGGGTTTTTTGGGTTTTTTTTTAATTATTTCTTATTTATCCCCAATGAAGATTATTTATTTCAGTTTGCATTTGGCATTTACTCGGCTATCAAACAAAACTTCCAGACACACAGAACAACTGTGACATTTAAGTTTTAAGCTTATTAAGCAAATTTAGAGTTGATTTCTGGACATTTGCACACTAATCAGTCAAGAATCTTTGATTCAACGTGAAAAGTTATACCAAATAGGCCACTTTCTAACCTTTTACCACATAAACTTCAACGAGATGCATTTCTCTCCCATAACCTGGACTATTTATGTGAGTAAAAGTCTAACATAAAGCTAAAGGAAAGTTGTTGTCGATTTCTCCTGTATTTGATGTAGCTAGTAGGATTGTATATTGATTAAGATATATATCTTACAGGCCTATGATTGTTCACAAAATGGCTCTCCCATTAGAGCTAGTCGTCCATTAATCTTATTAAATCAGCCCAAAATATATCAACATACAACCACCTTCTTCTTCTCCTATATATCATTATTGGACCCTAATATCGGTTTGAAAGAAACTCAGGAGACTTCCAGAAGAAGTTTTAATTTCATCATACACAAATATCATATTGAAAAATGCTGAATAAACTCTTTTCGACAAAGACAAGCTAATCAAATTTCAAAATTGTAGAGTAATATCATAAATACTTTTGAAACGTCTATTAGAAATTAACTAGTCAAATGCAGTTTAGTTCAAAACTATACCAACATTTCAATCTGTTTTATTTTTCATTAATTTATTCCACTTCATCTTTGACATATACTTAATGTATGATTGGTTGACTCCAGATCAACCTACCAATCAAACCCTGTGATGCAGAAAATTCCATGATTCCTTTAGAAAGGTTTTGATTATCGAGATATTTAATTGGTTGTCTAATCAAGGTCGTAACTCAAAAGGTATTTATTAAGTTATCGCACCGGTTCAGAATGTCATTAGAGAGAGAGAGAGAAATGGTATTAAATGTCCACTCAACACAATCTAGGTCATTTCGGGACTAACATATGGTGCAATTTCATTTCAATATTTTGCTTGCTCATAGGGGTCTTTAGCAGTGGGAGAAAACCCACAAGGTTGGGCAAGTGACCATACTCCTTAGGTATAAGCTTGGGATGGAAACCACGCCACTTGACTCGAATGACATATTATACAACGCTTCACCACAGTTAGACAACTCAACCACATGACTGATCACCCTATCCACAAATCAACCACCCATTTTATTTAGATGTTAATAAAATGTTAATTTGAGAAAGAGAACAAGAATAACATCTGATTTAATTGAAATTATATTGAATTATACACAAGAGTTACCAATATCTTTAAATGCTCATTTTTTCCCCTTCCCTGTAATATAATAAATGTCTTACTATTTTTCTAATCTATATAAATTATTTTAATAATTAAACATATGTGTTTGGATTATCAGCAGTGCATGTCATCTTAAACTCTGTCTTATGTTTTTGTATTGATTTTGTTCTAAAAATAAACAACCTTCAAAGTCTGAGGTCTGTGTTTGCTTTTAAGAACAAAAACCTAAGATCACTGGGTTTATCAATTATTCATTTGTTTCAAAAGGTTTCAAGTCAGCTTTGAAAATATATGTGCTGTCTGATGAAAAGACTAGAGCAAAAACTACAATAAAACTGAGAAATGTTATAGGGTGTTACAGAAAGCATAAGAACACCTTTCTCTGTACATGGCCACCATCACTTCTAAAACCCAAAATACCTTTTACAGCAACATCAAAGTGCCACCTAGATTCTTTAATTTATAGAAATTCAAAGAAGCTAGCTCAAGCTATTAACAAGTGGTTGCCATGCAAAATATGCACACATTTTACAAGAGATGGACAGAGAACAAAAAAAAAATGATTTTACGTAAAATGAGGGACCATAAACAGAAAATTACAATCTGTTTAGCGCAAGTATCAAAAGGAACCCAGATCCTTGGGAAATAAACATATATCTTAAGTTTCATTGAAATCAGATAAAAATTATAACCTCTACAGGGTCCACAATCTATTTGCATACGGGGAGTGGCAAATTTGTCGGCCAGTTTCAATCCGATTTTCTATGGAATTCGAACTCAACCGTCATTATGGTGTAACGGTGATAAATTTAATTGGTTTTTAAAATGGGATAAAAATTGTGACCTCTGGAGGTACCATATAAGCTAAAAAGCGTTTTTTTGTACAATCAGGGGCTGTAATTCAGGAAGTTAGGGTCTGATATGCATGAAGATCGACAGGAAGCTTGATCATTTGGATAAAAACATATATTTTAAGTTTCATCAAAACTGGATAAAAATTGTGACTTCTAGAGAGTTCACAACCTTAGTACTACATACTTTTACACTATTTGCATACAAGGAACGGCCATTTTGTCAGACAGTTTTATTCAGATTTTCAGAAATTCGAACTCAACCATGATTATGGTGTAATAGTGATATATTTGCACGTCTTTTTAAATTTTAAATATTGTGACCTCTAGAGGGACCACAAGCTAAAAACTTGATTATTCATACAATCTCGGGCCATAATCCAGGAAGTTATGATCAGATATGCGCGAATATCGAAAGGAATCGAGATCTTTGGGTTATAAACATTCAATCAAGTGTCATCAAAATTGAATGAAAATTGTGACCTCTAGTTTGTCCACAAGCTAAAAACTTGATTTTTCGTACACTCAGGGGCCATAATCCATGAAGTAATGTTCCGATACATGCCAATATGGAAAGGAACCAAGATCTTTGGGAGATAAACCTATATTTCAAGTTTGGTCAAAATCAGATGAAAAGTATGACAATATACGTCCACATCAAAATGTGGGGTATAAAAATCTCTGTCATAATAAAAGAACTGACAGGCCTATGGTTAAATCATGTGATATATGCAGAGCCAATCAGATCAATTTTCTTATATCTAATAAATTAATAAAACTAGAACTATAAAACTGATCTTTCTATGATTTATATTAATATGATCCCAGAAATCATTTACTGCCGGAATATATGATGGATGGAAGAGTAAAGAGAGCTCTTCCATCAATATAGCAGAAATCGGATAAAATTTTCATCACTTGCATATCCTCACTCTCATCGTATTATCTATCAAATTGTCATAACCTGCCAATCATAATATCAGCAACTACAATCTGACATTTTTATATTTGTACAGTATTTGATATTTATTCCAACTTTTCACTTCTGCCAGAACAACACCATTTACAAACAACTATCTCAGCATGCACAAGGAAGGATGTTGCCTACTAGTCAGAAATGTCAAGTGTAAATTAGCTTGGACCACTGGCAACTTGATATGGTTTTGTTTACAATACAGGAATGTTAGAGGTGATAAATTAGCTTTGTTCTGTGGCATACAGTTAAATAAAAAACACTATTTATTAGCTAATTCATAAAGAGAAGAAATAAGATATTGTGACAATGCATATATTCAAGCTGGCAGCTCCATGGTATCGCTTTTCTTGTGCAGCAAACCAAAATAACAATAACATGCAAGGAAAAGTGGCTAGTGCGCTAGTAGAAATTGAATTAAGTGTTACAACCGTGAAAGAAACATGGTGATACAATTGATGCACTGTTTGGTTTTCTCTATTGATAACTGTGATTTATATTCACTAAAGACTAAATATGATTTAAGGAGAAAAAAGATGGCGTGGAATAGAATAAACAAACAGTGCAGTCTCTCATTCGTAATAATCTTTCTTTTTCTCCCCTACGTTATTTTTGTCTCTTCTTTCATGCCAACGAAGTAACGCTGTTATTTCTTTCAAAAATATTATGTAAACTAATTAAATGTATTTTGCCCCCTTTATTATTCCAAAACCGAATTCCATTTTATCTACTTCATACTGTGAATGATAATCCAATTAAAGGTACCATATACCAGATGTAATTTTTCTGCTTCAACAAAAGTGGGGTATGTGCAGACTGTGAATCGAAAAAGGTTGGATCAAGTTATCATCGGAAGGCAGCTAAACTATAGCCTTGACAACTATTACTGACAATTTCACATATTATATACATCTATCTATGTCAAACTCTATGGGTCATTTCCATTATTTTATGCACAATCATTATTAAAGTGTTAACTTGCTACCACCGTTCATTTACTCATTTATCAATTTCGGCCTCTACTAGATATGGTACACTTCTCAATTATTGTCATCACACATATTCATATGTCTGAGTAAAAAATAAAATGACATTTATTCTCAGCCACTATAAGAGCATCTGGACTACCTATTGCTTGTAGCTATATACAGAATATTCCAGAGAAAGACAACACACAAATTATAATTACTTTCATGTTTTCTTACCTGTGTGGTAAATGGCGCTGTCCATTAAGTAGAGCCATTATCACATTACCGAGGGCTGACAGACTTAAAGAAGCGTTGTTTGGATCTTTAGATTTCGCTGTACTTCCTAAATCAATTAGATGTAGACGACTTCGACCTCCAGCAACTATAACAATAAAAAAAGAAGAAATTTCATGAGATGTCAACAGAATTAGGTTTTATCTACTTATCAATGTAAAATAATTTGAAAAATATTTTTTTCAAATTAGTTTTAACATTTTTTCCATTGTGCATCTAGATATTACACCATTTTTTTTACCAGGATAAATTGTGGCCTCCCTGTTTTTTGTGGCTCAAGAATGAACACTTTTAGTTTCATTAAAATTCACTGCAAACTTCAGCGACTCTCTAGAGTGACATTTAATTAAAGGGCGGGTCTGTAGGTACAAACAATATTTGTCAACTGGTTATTTGCATGAGTTGAAAAATAAATCAGATTATACAAGTTTGTACCGAATAGAATTCCAGAGTCTTTGATAAAAATGTTAGATATAGAAATGTGTGTCAGGTTTTCCAGCATAAGTCTATGAATAACCAGTATTTAACGTAGAAAATATGCTAACTTGTCAAGATAACGGTTATTCTGTCCCATAATAATAGTTTAACGATGGTTAGAATTACACCCCACAATCTAAAACATGTTTAAAGCGATAGTGAACAACTCAACATATATTTGTATTTTATTAGATAATAAAGTATTTAGTTCATATCTTTCTGTGTTGAGACATTTATAACTTCACACTCAATGTATTTTAACTTAAGATCCATGTACATTCAGTACCATTAAAAATATAGGTTTTTAACCTTATGTAAATAATATACTGCCACCCACAAAGTCACAATTTGACATCTCGTATGTGAAACTTTTACTTCTAAGGTTGTTGAAACATTTATTGCTTTATTTCATGTAAATAGTAGATATTACTTCTCTTCTAGTACATGTAGGAGGGAGTATAATATGAAATGAAATGGGGTTTAACCTCCTACTGTTCTGCTCCGACTGGGCTAATAAAGATGACTGGGCTAATAAAGATCGGGCATATGTCATTCAGTGTGCTATGAGGGAAATTTTGCCCGGACGGCCTACTCTTATATCGAATTCCAACTGCCAAGGGATCGTTTACGTGCATGCCAATGTGTACACACAGCCTTTGTATTTTAACCCATCCAAATGACTAGACATCTGTCATTGTCAGGCCATCCGTCCTGCACCACAGACAAGAGAAAACTACGAGTATAATATGAAGTTCAGAAGACCAAATATAAGTTAGTCTAATATAACACCTGCTTTTTTAAGCTAGGAGACTCTAAGGAGAGTGTAATGTTCACAATGACTAGAAGCGAAACCAGCTTGACATTTTCGATGGCTATTACCATGGGTTATAGCTACAACTGCAAATTTCAATAAAAATAATGAAATATGCATGCCTTGAAATAAAATGAAATGTAGTTTAATGTCCTACTTTTCTGCACTGACTGGGCTAATGAAGACGGAGTGCATGTCCTTAAATAGCTTAAACCGGCAATATTAAGCAGATCTGGTCAAAAAATTAAGATAAGCAGCTGTACAATCATCAATGTTTTAAAGTTTTGGTACGGAATACAACTCTCAATCTGGGCTTTGACATGCAAAAATCCTTCACCTATTGGTAGAACTGAATGTGTAAAATCCACAGAAGTTCTGTTCAACAGGCTATACTTTTCTGGTGGAAAAAAACATCCTCCATGGCTACTATGCTACACAAAAACCTTGCTGTACCCCAGTTTGAGTATACAGATGGGTGTCCAAGTGTTGTAGTGAATCCCCCTATTATAACATAGAAGGGTCTTGCTAAAAGGCTGGTGTTGTCATTCAGCGCTGTAATCAACATGACTACATGGAAATCGCTAATGATATTGTTTTGTAGAGACTGGCAAAAGAACATTGGCGCTGTATCAATGCAATTAATGTTTCAAAAATTCAGTTATTTGCCATCAAGCCTCCCATGTAGACCCAAGAAGAAATTCTTAATTATCTTTTTGCAAAAAGTAAAATTGAGTAATGAAATCCTACTTTGCCATAAGTAACTTATATGTTATTTAATCATATCATAATGTGCAGAAGTCAAAACATATTTAAATGTATGTACATTTAATTAGTCCACATTAGTTGCATATTATATTATCCATGCCTAGATGTAAAAGATTTTAAAAAATTTATCCCACAAAATTGTTATCATTAATATGATTTAAGAAAAAAATCTTCATTAAAATTGCTTCCAGATAAACTTTATATCAAGGTATATGATATAGTAAGATGAAGGAATTGCAGTCTTGGATATAAGATTTCAATATGCTAGAACTCAGCTTGTTCTAAACAGTAAACTTATATGTATTTTGATATGTATCTATTTTAGTTTTAAGTCTTTTGCCAAAAATAATAAATAATGCTGACTTTAATTATATCTCAAAATTGTAGGAGTACAGATTCTTGCTTTATCTGAAATTACTTGATTTTGTGAAATTTATGCCTAGCGGACATGCAGGTTATAGTTTTTCCAAATGAAACATGCATGTTTTTCCTCCTACTGGTAAAACAAAGATAGAATGCCAGGCAACGACACATATGCCCACAGCAGCTTAATCGTCCGAGCGGTCGGCAAGGGTTGTCGCATATTTATTTTTTTGTAGGTAATTGGGGCATTTACAAGACAATTTCTTATAATTTTCGTCCTTTGAGGGTTCACAAGGTTCTGCAAACTGAAAAAAGGGCCTTGTTTCAAAATAGTCCTCTTCTAGCTGAACACACTTTTGCCAACGATGTTGCAAGGCTTGAATGCCAGTCAGGAAGAAATTTTCTTCTGCCACCCTAAAAAAGTCATTCACACTGACATGGCAGCATCATTACCAGGAAAATGATGACACACTAGTTCCTTGGAAACAGGTCTCATCCATGGTTACAAATCTGGCCAAAAATATTATAAGGATATGCCTCAAAATGGCGCAGATTGTCACGGGACATCAGAATCTGACATGTTTCTGATCCGCAGTCGAGGTCTTTGGCACCCATCTTGCAGAAACTTTTGTCATTCCTAACTCGTTGCAGATAATGGCACTGGCTATAAGTCAAGTGGTCAATTGTCGATCTGCCATCACCATGTCACACACCCAGGTAATGGTCTGTTGAATGGTGGCTGTTGATGGCCTTCCCGTCCGGATGCGTGATGCGTGTTATCGTCAAGGCTCTCTCTCTCTGCCAAGTTTAAATTTTACAGTCCACTTCTTTACTGTGGAAAAGGAAGGGACATCATCCCCTCCCTGGTAATATACTATTCAAAAAAAGTAGGGGATATTTGATTTTGGGGGCATAATACTAAAATATGCAAATGACTACGAAAAAAGTCACTATAGAACCTAACAGAAGAAACATTTCCAATTACATGTGACGCCCAAACGCACCAATAGCTACCGCATGGAATGCAGGTGATGCTTGGGATCATCATGGGGGTCCAACCCAAGATTTGCACGACTCTGACTTTGAATGTTACAGTCATTGTGGCATTGAATTCCAGGGTGGAAACATCAGTTTAATTGTTTTAGTGACCAGAAAACAAATTTTGATATGCGTCGGCTTACCCAAAATGAAAGGTTACGTGCCCTTGGCATGCTACAGATCGGCACAACACAGGCGGTTGTGGCGCGGACGATGAATGTTTCTCAGTCTGTCATAAGCAGGCTATGGTCCAGATACCGTGATACACAATCTGTACAGGACAGACCACGCTCAGGTCGACCAAGGGCGACAACTCAAGCCCAGGATCGATTTATCCGTACCTTGGCCTTGAGAAATCGTGTCATCACAGCAAATCAGATCAGCGCTCGTCTTCAAACAGACACTGGTGTGAGAGTGAGTGGCCAGACGATTCGGAATCGACTGCATAGGGGTCACCTTCGCGCCCGACGTCCTCGCGTGATCCCTTGTTTGAGAGATCATCACATTCAGGCAAGACGTCGTTGGTGTAGGGATCGTCAACACTGGGATAATCGACGCTGGAGCAATGTGATGTTTTCAGATTAGTCAAGGTTCACTGTTGATTTTTTGGACAGACGTAGGAGGGTGTGCCGTCGTCGAAACGAGCGCTTCAAAGACATTAACGTCATCAGACATGATCGATTTGGGGGTGGTTCTGTTATGGTGTAGGGAGGCATCACTGTTGCTGAAAGAACGGCTTTACATGTTGTTGCAGGGCGTGTTACAGGCCAGTACTACCGGGACAACATCTTGGCAGTCCATGTTGTGCCGTTCGCACGACGTCATGGCCGCCGTTTCATCTTCCAGGATGACAACGCAAGATGTCACAGGGCCAGGATCGTTACAGGTTACCTCCAACAACAGAACATCACCACATTACCTTGGCCAGCACTGAGTCCCGACCTCTCCCCCATCGAGCATGTCTGGGACATGCTTGGACAGAGGTTACGTCAACGTCAACAACGTCCTGCCAATGTCCAAGAACTTGCTGCTGCGTTGCAACAGGAATGGGACAATCTGGACCAAAATGACCTTAGACGTCTCATTAGGAGTATGCCACGTCGGATCAATGCTTGTTTGGCAAACAGAGGAGGATTTACCCGTTACTGACTTGGTTGTGATGCTGTGGTAACTTTGCTGTTTGACCCCGGGTATCATTTTACCCTTATAATGGTCAGTCTGTGCCTTACTTAGTCTAACGATCATTTGGAATAAATCGATGAATGTGAACTTCATTTCATTTTGTCATTTGTTTCTTCGTCAGTTTCATTAGGTGACTTTAATAACATTTAAAAATCAATTATCCCCTACTTTTTTTGAATAGTATAATATGCTCAATCCTCTAAGAGATGACTGGAATTGTTGCTGCCAACCAGGATGCAGGTCCTCGTCAAGGCTCTCTCTGCCACACTTAAATTCAACAGCCCACTTTTTACTGTGGGAAAGAAAGGGGTGTCATCCCTTAAAGCGGAGACCATAACAACATGTATATGTGTTGGGTTTAGTCCATTCAGTTGCAGGTACTTGATGGCTGCCCTATAGCCAATTTGTCCATTTCTGGCAATTTCAATGGGTAGACCGGGTACAAAAACAATAAAACTACAAACAGTTCTTATGTCTATGATTCATTCAATGATCGTATTTGTTGGTGGCAAAAGTTTATTTCAAACTAATTGATCTACCTATTTCAGATTTGAAAATTTCAGTCAGCCCTCGTATATGCTTTTCATGAAAACATAGCATTTATTCAAAAGTTTCAGAGTAGTCCGCCACGACCCCTGCTGTAATTTAGGCAAGAGAGATTAGGTTTAATGTCATTCAAAACAAACAAAGTCATTTCACAACTAATATTGGAGATTGAAAACAAATTATCATTCGGTCAGTTGGACAATTAAAAAGTCCACCAGTTATATATATATAATATATAATTTGTATTACGCTAATTAAGGTTAATTTAAACAAATTATTCTATGTACCTATCAGATTTTATCTCGTTAATGGACCATATATTTCATAAGTTGACATTAAATATTCAAATTATACAGATATTTGATATCTCTATCTGGACAGTCCAGTAACTACTGTTTGATTTAGTTGGATTAATTCACAATATAATATCAGTTAGGAACAATTTGGCTAATCCTTTATTTGGTAGAATACATTACAATGTATAAAATTTAACTGCTTGTTATAGAATGTAATTGGAGAAATGTTTATAAGGATTCATAATTTTGAAATAACTGTTTAAATCCAAGCTATATCCAAGCCATCCGAGGATCAACATAGTTGATTTTGAGCTTATCATGTAAATAAAGGTCTAATTAATAATTTCTATAACATTTGAAGCCCAAAGAAAGACTTGCAATAGGCAGATTTAGGTTTTAACTTATGTATCTTTAATTACACTGACATTTATTAAACAATCAATATGTTTATCACTCTACATAACTTAAGCAGAAAATGACACTTATTGAACTTAGTCAAGGTATGAAACATCCCTCATCCCCACGCCAACAATTAAAAGTTATTATGTTTCAAAGTCTTAGTTAAACAAATGACATAGCCAAAGCAGAAAATACTCATCATCAACCCAGTAAAGCTTTACATTCACTCACTTTAAAGCAGAATTATTGCGTCTTGAAAACCCACATTAATAGTTCCTTGCTTTTGGAGACAATAATAAGGATATTTTGTAACTGATATTTTGCTGGATTTTAAGCAATCAGTTTCTGTTTCAACAGAAATATCAAATTCATCAAGCATCTATTATCTCTAATAGTATAATGGTTAAAGTAGTCTATCATGACTTGAGATTGGAGAAGGTTGTATACAAGAAAAAAAAACTATGTGTTCCATTTAATGTAAAAGAACCAGGTTGTAGTGGAAATGAGGCACCATTAACTCACAAAACACCACCCCAGATACTGATTTATAGCACCATTAACACTCATTCTGGCCACTTTCCAAATATTTAAATTTCTCTTCCAATTTTGTTCAATTACAACCTAGCCACCAAATATTTCTTATATTATTTAACTATTGAAAGTTGATTAATTAATACGTACTGAAGCATCTGTTTGGGGAAATATAATTAAAGAATTGACAAGAGCGCTTCATTAAATTTTCTTAATTATAAATAAAGTTGAAAAACACATGAAATCAATTACGTCATGCATATTAAGATAATTAGGATGATAATAGAATGCCAGCTACATTACATAAGTCATTTTTATATGTTTTTAGCTGGAACCAGACTAATGTATTCATTAGAAGACAGACATTCAAAACACACACAAGTAAAACCCAAGACCTACTCATAAACACCCCAGCATAAGTTTTGTATTTAAAAAGAATAAGAAATTGTATTATGTAATATGCAGTATGCCACAGGAAGAAATATTCTCCCTCCCAGAATATTGCCTACAGGTATTATTATTTTTCAAACTCTCATAATATCTTGATGAAAGTTCACTTGAAAGACTATGTTAAACTGATAAAGATTGTTTAATTTATGCCAGTTCCATATTCATTTCTTATCAAACATTCTTAAACAAGCCAACAATGTGATTCATGTCCCCAGCCTAATCCCAAAATAAATAAAGGACACTTAACTTTTTATAAAACGAAAATGAAATGCGGTTTAACGTCCTACTGTTCTACTCCTACTGGGCTAATGAAGACGGGCATACGCCATACAGTGTGCTATGAGGGAAATTTTGCGCGGACAACGGCACTGCGGCCTACTCTTATATCGAATTCCAACTGTCAAGGGATCTTTTACATTTATGCCAATGTGTACACAGGTCCTCGGTTTTTCATCCCATCCGAACAACTAGACAGCTGTCCTTTTCAGGCCTTCCGTCCTGCATTACTGACAAGGGGGAACCACATTTTTTTATAAAACATCAAGCAATCAAATTACTTATCACTCTTCTTAACATTATGAGAAATTGGTCATTATCAAACATAGTCAAGGTATTGATGTAATGAAACTATACATTAAGTTTCATTACTCTCCCCACGTTTAGAATCAGAGTTATCATGATGTTCAAAGTCTGAACCAATGATTAAATTGTTAATATCTTTGCTTAGCCTAAGCAGAAAATGCTTATTCTCAAAATTAATCATGCATCAGCTTTCAGCACTCTCATTTAAAATTATCAGGTTCTTTAGTATTGCCAAATCAACTTGATTATCTTTTCTTAGCATAAGCAGAATATGCCCATCATTGACCTTGGTCAAATCATTAATCTCATAAACATCAACAACAAATTAGCATTTTACTTCAATTAGAAGCTAGTGATTGTGTTTACAAGGTGTGACGAACAGACATATGGACAGTGTAAGCAGAAAATGCTCATCCTCAAGTCATCAAGACATTCACCTAATGAACATCTGCACCAAGTTTGAACATTCTACCTCAATTAGAAGTAGAATTATTGTGTTCTAAAAAGCTGCTTCAGATGAACAGACAAACCAAACTTAATAATCCCTTGCTTTCTTTAAAAGGTGGGGGACACTACTATTTCGGCTAATGTGCATAAATGAGAATTTTATATAAAGCAATCACATATTTTTGTTGGTTGTGAAATTAAACAGCTTCATTCTAGGACGCTAGTAATGGAATTTGAGGACATCACATTTCAAAAGGAGTTGAAGACAACTAAAATTGTTGACATGGACCATGCATGTTCACTATTTGAAATAACTTTAGAATAAAGGAGGTCATTTATCACATTTCTTAATTCTCGGTGTGCACATTAATCTTTTCTTTGTTCATATTTACACCAGAGATTGTTTGTTTTCTGACTAAACTTGAAAAGAATTCCAAGATCACAGGAAAAATATCTTGGAACTTGGACCAGATCTATCATAGATGAATCAAAAGGAAGTTCTGAAGCATGCCACAGGCAACTTTCCATTTTTTTCTTGTAGAAACATAAACATCTATGAATATCAACAAAATATAGAGAATAAATAACGGTATTACTTACCACCAGGTAATCCGGCTCGGTTGGCTTTTTCTATTCTATATTGATAGACATGTAGGGTGAATAACAAATGAGATGATCGGCCGTCTTCTTCCACTGTTGAAATAGAAAGATTTAGGAATAAGTAAAGGTTTGAACCTCACAGCTTCCTCGGTTATCTTTTTCTTAGATATAAATAGTGAAATCACCTCAGAAATTGAGCAGACAAGGAAGATAAATATGTTTATACACGTCTGATTAGCAAAAAATGCATTTAAAGAGTAACGAAAGTGTCTGTTTGGCATGCTTCCCTGAAAGTGAAATCGTTCATAACTTTCACGTAATATGCATAGAATCAGATGTTAATATGATATTTATGTATATATTTTTAACTTCCTGTTTAACTTCCCATAGATCTATCATCTTGATTGTCTTTTAATGGCTTCCCACTGACATACACAGGGGATACAATCCAAAGAGCTGGGTAAAACATTTTCTGCTGTTTAACACAGATAATCAATTATGCTATTCAATTAACAATTAAAACAACCAGATAGATTTACCAAACTTTAGATCTTTTCTTAAAAATTAATCAACTACTTTTTAAATAATTCATTTTTTTTCATCTAGCTAAATACTTCAATCTAAGTTTATCTTAAAACAGTATCTCACCATGTTTACTGGTTGCAGCCAAAGCAGCATCAAAATAGAAGGCTGCTCTTTCAGCAGTTGGGGCACGAAGTTCACTTTGATTTTCAAGTTGGGTTCCACAGATAGGATCTTCTCTCAAATAGACACCATTTGATCCACTGCCACCATCTGCACCTTGATAAGATGAAAATGTTATATTTATCTAACCATCAAAGAACATCATAATTCTGCACTTTTTGGCACCATGAGATTGGATTTATACCAAATATTATCAATGCATGTGCAGTGAGGTTTAATTTATTTGCATAAATCATTTCAAGAAATTTAATGGTTTATCTCAAGGGAGGTAATCAGGCCTGTTATTTCATTTATGTCTGCACCTATTATATCATATGTACATTAAACACTGCCAGGTAAGCTGAATAAACATACACATGTTAAATGGAGGGTGCAGACGTCAACAATATATCAGTATATTTATTGGAGAGATCTATTTTTTTCTCATCAATCAGTCAACTGTTTGAATTTATAGGTTCTTAATCATGACTTACTTCCACGCATATGTACATATAAACATGTAGGTAAATTGATCTACCATTCAGTTTCATAAAGGTAAGTATTTAAGAGTTTGAAGGCAAAAAAAGAGCAAAGTAAGTGAAATTAAATTATTATTGATAAACTTTTGTCAACGAAAAAAAAAAAAAAGAGACATTTGGATTTTGGAGCTCTTCATCAGTTGGTAACAAAAATTATTTGACTACAGTTACATTGAGGATGTTTAAATTAGATCATGTGCCAAATTTGAGATAAAATGTCCAATTCATCACTGATTTATAGGCATGTTAGCTTTCAATTTACAAGACTTTTTTTAGTGGTTTTCAAGAAATTTCTCTTAAATTTATCGATTTCCAAAATAGCCAGTAATGGTATTTACAATTAATGAATGATTAAAATAGGGTTAAATGTCCTACTTTTCGGCACACGCTGAGGGAAATTTTGCTCTGACAGCAATTGAATTCTAACTGTCAAGGGTTCTTTTACTTGCATGCCAACATGTACACGGGACCCGGGTTTTTCATCCCATCTGCAGATATATTGCAGACATATTAAACTGAACACAAAAATCTCTACAAATCAAATAAATTGAAAGAAATGCATGCACATCAGGACCACCCGATTTTATTAGATGCAATAAAAGACAAATATTAGATTACATAGTTTGTCCTTGCAAATGGATGAGATTGAACATGAGGAGATCTTCATGGTGATATAATTAAAACACATTAAACATTACACGGACAATAAAACTCATTTACGTACATTCACATCCGTCATCAGAACTGATGGCAGAAACGACTCCATTTTGATTATTCTAACCAAATGAAAGTGAAAATTCTGAAGACTTTGTATTACTGAACATATCCCACAAGGGCAAATTGTGGCTGGCATCGCTCAATCAATTGTAGAATTTATTTTCCTACTATACATTCGGTACATGACAATTCCAAGTGATTGGTAATTGATTCATTTCCCCAAGCAATGGATAGAAACGACTAAAAGGAAGCGTTGAGTGGAATTCTAACGTTTCCAATCAGACAGACGAAAGCAGTTTGCTTCTACATTTTTCAAAGGGTGGGCAGTGACAGTATGATACTTCACAATTCTCACCACAAGCCTGCGCTGATGAGCTGGGGAGTTAAGCATCAAAATTCACCTAGAGCAAATCAAGTGATACGGAGGCGCTATTATCTAAACTTCTGTCCGCTTATAAAAGAGAATTATTCAACAATTTAGACAGTCTTATCTTGGTGTACGATCAACATCAAATTACTAAAAGTGGGCATTATGAATCAATAGGTTTTGTTACATTACCCAAACCTAAGGGAATCGCAGTTCAGTGGTAAAAGAATATAGCACTTATGTATATTTACTATTGATTAAGTAGAACTAGAGATTTGAGCGTGAAACAAGACAGAGTAGAACATGTCACTTGAAGCTCCATTGTAGAACATAAAATAAGTTTTATCATTATGTATGTCCTCTTTGGTTGGAAAACGATCCGAGAACAATTAATTCTCACCCATTTTTTCCATTTATGAGATAGATCATTGTGATATGATCTGTATAAAGTTGATTATAAGTTTCTTTGATCCATATTTTTATGAAATTAACACACGTCTAACAAATATTTATCTATCTACTTACAGGTCTTTTCATTTTTTTTTTATTATCAATTGACAAGGGATCTTCAATTTGTTTTCTGATCAGTATACTGATTGATAAATTGATAAATGGAGAGAGAGAGAGAGAGAGAGAGAGAGTTTACAAATATCCAGGAATACCAATGTACCTGCTGGAAAAAACTTACAAGGTTTGAGAGTCAAAACTACTCCTTGTTCTATATGAGATAATATTTTAATTATTAGTGCTCAACAATAAATTAACTTTTATATTCAAAATAGGAGTGAATAAAATGAGGTTTTAACGTCCTACTTTTTTGCAGAGTTTAACACACACTGACACAAACTAGGTCATGTTGGGACTACCATCTGGTACAATTCTGTTTCAATAATTAACTTGCACATAGGACTTTTTAGCAGTGGGAGGTATCTGGAGGAACCGGAGAAAATCAATGAGGTTGGATCATGGGTAGGCAACCCTACTCCTTGTCATATACAAGCTTGGGATCAAAACTGTGCCACTTGACATTGAAAGACCTTACGATCTAACTTGTGCCTCGACCAGCTAACCTCCCCCAATTCTGTCTAAAGTTGTAGACAACTTGTAGTAATGTGACATTTACTTATATACATTTGAAGATGATAAATGAGAACAAAGTTTTTGTGAATTAATAACAAATCTATTTTTTTGTTAATTGCAGGAACTATTTTGACCCTGACATTTCCTAGTGTATGATTTGACAACTTGTATTGGGGATAATTTGCACACAACTTATAATCACATTAGTGTAGCTTTTATAGCTCGAGAAATCAAATGTCAACTAGCGTAATTAACAGTAATATCGACAACAAATGATATTAATCCCTATAATAATCTCAATAGATGCTTGCCTTTATTACCCTTCGCTGAGAAATACACAAAGAATCTAATAGTGGTTTAATGAGTCATTAACTAATATGGTCATATTTTGTTTTTATTAGGTGTGAAATGTGGTAATAAATATTATAGGCACAGCAGCTGTGAAATATAGTTAATTCCAACTATACAAGAGTCTGTATTAATGAAATGAAATGAAATCAAATGGGGTTTAACGTCTTACTGTTCTGCTCCGACTGGGCTAATGAAGATGGGCATACGCCATACTGTGTGCTATGAGGTAAACTTTGCCCAGGCAGTGGTACTATGGCCTACTCTTATAAAAAAAAGTCCAACTGCCAAGGGATCTTTTACGTGCACGTCAATGTATACATGGGACCTCGGTTTTTCGTCTCATCCAAATGACTAGACAACTGTGCTTGTCAGGCCCTCCGTCTTGCACCACTGACATGAGGAAACCAAGTCGGAAAATCATGATGAACTTTCTCGGCCAATGCAGGGATCGAACAGGCAACCTCCAGGGTAGCTTTATTAATGAAAACTACCCTTAAACATGCATTATGCAAGAGCTAAATCTGATTATTGCAAGTCTTAATTTAGGCTTCAGATGTTATAGAAATTATAAATTAGATCTTTATTTAAACAACAAGACCAATATCAACTCTGTAGACCCACGGATGGCTCGGCTACAGCTCGGATTTAAATAGGATTTCACTAATTGATTAAATCAGATAAGGGGTAACCTGATGAAAATACGTCAGTTAGATCGAGGCTAAATGATAGAGTGTACTTAGCGAGGCCGCTGTAAAGCGTTTCCGTATGCCATTGAAAACTTTACTTGATAATCGAGATATGTAGGTGGAGTTAACTTCTGTCAATCAAACGACCGGCAAAGGTGAAGACACAATTCGCTACCATTTCTAGGCAAATATTACAATGATGATAACTATGTTCAGAATAAAGTAATTTGACTGAATTTTTCAATATATTCTTCTTTCATCATCTACTTTTGAACTGTTATAGCAAGAATGGCCAACTCTCTATAAAAATCGCCCATAATGTATCTTTAAGCGTCTGTATAGTATAATAGACAAGAGGTTTTCGGGGTCCGATTTAAGACCACCAGCAGCAATATCATCCATACTAGCATATAAAACTGCTTTAAAACAATTCTACTGATATCACTGACATCCTGTATGTGTACATTGTGTATATTTCCAAATAAAAGGAGAGATAACGTTACAATTTACAATATTGCAATATAGTCGTATAAAAACTTGTCAAGAACTCTGACCTGCAGAGTATTCATAAAAATTAGATGCAAGTATGTTCATAATAAAATGTGGGGAAGACTAAAAACTGGCTAAAAAATAAAAATTGCAATAGGTCTTGTGGATATGGCAGGGTATGCTTACTCTTTCCTGAACACCTAAGGTGATGAGAGAGATGGTGTCTTGTGGATTTTAGCGTTGCTAATATATTTATTTGCTTAGACGTTCTTCAGCATATTTTGTATTGATGTTTCTGTTTCTTTTTCACAATGTTATAAAATCAAACGCATTTCATTACTGATAAGATTCCTACATGACAACTGTTGAACTTGTGTGAGTCAAAAAGGTCTTTGAAAAAACGGAAAACACAAGTTTGGTTATCTAATACAGACGGAGAAAAAAAAGATGCCATACACTGGTTATCAACCAATTCCATTTCAAGTTTGTAAATATGACAAATCAAAGCTTGATTCTAATTCGGTAGTGTGTCACTATTAAATCTTAATATGTTGTTTGAACTGCCGTCAACTTTAAATATTATATTATGACACATGGTAGCAGACGTTCAATATCTAATCATACAGGGTGGTCTGATAAACACAGATTTCTCGTTGTCATCATCTCATTTTACCATCTAATCCTTGCACTAGTTGTGGACAATATGGTCATTCTTCCTGCTAATCTCAACTATCATAAATTGATCCTCTTCAGCTAATTAACTAAACTGTTAATTAATCAAATGACTCATATAAAGGAATTTGTGGTGTGAAGAATATCATTTTATATTCAAACATTTTTCTGCCTGTTGCACGAAATCTTATTTGCGATAAGTTGTGATTGAATGTGCTCGATGGTTTTTATTAGGGAGTAAGAGTCTTGTTGTAAGAGACTAGAGATTAAATGTCTATTGTTGTGAGGTAGCAGGCGGATATTTGATTGGTGAATATGGTTACGATAATACTACTCCAGCTGTCAAAATGGACACATTTTGTCTTGCTCGTGTTTATTAGGGGTTAATTATTTTCTTGTTGATGATGATGAATTATATGGCTCATCAAGGAGAGCGAGAGAAATTGGGTTTACCTTCCACTCAGTACTAACTAGGTCTGTCATAAATTAAATAAATTGAAATGGGGTTTAACGTCCTACTGTTCTGCTCCGACTGGGCTAATGAAGACGCACAAGTGCTATACAGGATGCCATGAGGGAAATTTTGACAGGACAGCGGCACTATGGCCTACTCTTACATCGAATTTCAACGGCCAAGAGATCTTTTACATGAACGCCAATGTGTACATGGGACCTCAGATTTTCGTCCCATCGGAACGATATACTTTGTCTCTTGCCAGGCCCTCAGTCCTGCACCACTGACAAGGAGGAACCACGCCGGAAAATCCTGATGAACTTTCTCGGCCAATGCAGGGATCGAACACGGGACCTCCAGGGTATCGCGCCAACGTTTTACCCACTGAGTCAGTGGTACAAATATCATTTCAATAACTCAGTTGTGCATATGGGTCTTTAGCATACATTTATTTATATGCACTTTAAAGTCAATATTTCCAAGGTAAAGATCAAAAATATTACTATTTTTGCAACATTATATATCAGGATACTTATAAAGAAAATGGAAACTGTTAAGGAAGCTATTGGCTTTTTTATTCTTGTACAATTTTACGATCATTATAGTATTTTTTATTTACTTAAAGGAAATGTTAAATAAAATATGCCACAAAAAATAACAGTAATGTATCATTAAGTGTTTGAAAGATGAACCTAATCCATTTTTAATATGTTTACTTCTGTCCTATGTCAAAATATTAATTTTCTCTCAAATGTTCAAAATACCAAGAGTGTAGCAGAAGAGAAGCAGATTTGATTCAAGGTGTTACAACATAAATATCTGACATAGTTTGACTATTATAGAAGCTAGTTAGTAAGAAGATTAGTACATTCCCGTGTCAGTATCAATCTGCTGGAGTTCTTCCAGTTAACCACAAAAACAGTTGTGTCTAGCTATAGGTTGTCAATATATCTAGCTCCTGTAGCTCATACAAAAATAACCATACTTTTAAATTATTCTTTGAAATTTTAAAATTACTTCTGTGCCTGTTTGGACATCATTTGTGTCCCATTTAAATATCCAATTTAAAAAGATGGGTTGCCAGGAAACAAAACATATGTCCACTGTAAGTAAAGTGTGTGAACGGGCTACAAAAGTTGTGGCATATCATTCTTTTGAAGGTAAAGAAAGTATTTATAAGACACTAAAAACTGATCAAGAATAACAATTCACGAAGTAATTATAAGAAATAATTAAAGTTTGATTTATCATATATCGGAAAAATTGATGCACTTTTCAAATGTTCAAAATTTACATCCATGCTCAACTTTTAAACATATTTGAGTATTCTAGTTTATACTGGTAATTAGTGTTTCAGGTATGCGTTATGTCAATCTTCTATCATCCACCTATTATTACAAACAGATGTGAAGAGTGTCCAAAAAAATCTCATTATCACTACTTGACCAAACAAACAAAATGGCGGACTACATTAACCAAAAGTAACACTTACATATTTGACTAAACAAACAAAATGGCTGATTACATTAAGCAAATATATTTGTGGTTTAAAAATATAATTTTCAAAATAGCTCTTACATACCTCCTGCAACTTCAGTAAGAAGATCTCTTAAAATTTCTTGGGTTCCTGAAACTTCTACAGCTGAAACTCGGACAGAAAATCTTGCTCCTGTCGTTTCTTTCTGATCACTGATTAATTTAAATAACCAGGCTATAGCACAAGGTATTACTCCTAGAGTCTGTGGTGAATGATCTTTTCCTATCATTGTAAATGATTTACCTGAAAAAGAAAGGAGAAAGTTAGTTTCCTTCTATTTTACTCAAATTTGGCTCCACAGATCATAACAATGTCATTTTAATATAAGTTATAGTACAGCCAGAGATGCTGTAATAGAAATCCCTATGGCCCATCCAAAAACAGTGTTCATGTACCCATCCCATCACATTTGGTTAGAAGACACACCCAATAACAGATGCAACTAAATTATAGAAATAATGTTGTTGTTTTAGGGATTTTTTGTGCTCTTGTCCCTACTTTAGAAAATCATGTATACGCTTGTCTACAGACAAGCATATAACAAAACCACAGATGAAATTTTCCCAAAAGATATCGCAAATAATTTCTTCTAATATGCATCCATATTTGAGGAGAATCATGTGCATTTTCTCTTGAGTTTATTTTAAATAATATCATATGTTATTAATGTAGATGTGCTTTTATTGTATAAGCTTATAGAGGTTCATGATGAAGAGCCATTTCTGTTGTTTAAAATAAACATATAGCTCTACATCTGAATCCATGTTGTCTGTTTTCTCCATTTTAGTTCTTAAAATGTAAAATTTCTATGTAAAAGGCACAAGTTAGATCAATATAATTATTTAAAATGTAAACTTTTTTCAATAACAGGGCCCTTTCATATATTTTCTTAGTCTGAATGAAAGAACTTAAATGACCACACCACATGATGGGAGATTCCTCTATAAATAAAATGAAACAAGTAAAGGCCATATTGTGAGTGACCATCAAACCATCTGCTTGTTTAGGGAATCTGTCAATATGTTGGTGGTCTGACAAGTTTGAAATAACTGACAAGAGGTTGATGGTATGACTAGTAGATCAGGTTTATACTAGTGTATAACACAGGTTTCATGTATATGATAGATATAAAAGAAATACTGCAGCAGCTGCCCAGCTATCAAATATTGACATAATTCTTCTTTTTACACCTGATACAGGAAATTATACAAATAAATACATCAACATATAAACTTGATAATAGTATTATCTAGTAGGCATCCTTTAATTCAAATGCTTTTCAGCTTTTCTAATATATGTTTTAAGCAAAATCACTAGATGACCACTAGAAGGCTTTAATTAAGGCCAGGTCTCAAATCATCAATTCAGACTCTAGCCATGGGAATGACAAAAACTTAAGTTTTCAGTTATTGCAGACTTAAATTGTGTCATACACAATTTAAGTCTGCAATAACTCTGCAATATAGTTCTTATATTTTTAACCAATTAAATATGACCTCCATCTTCTTAGACCTCCGGAGCTTTATCGCGAAGGTTCACATTTTCCTGCACCTCCACCTTTCACCCTGTCTAAAAAGCAGGATCCACCCTGGTTGAAAAATGACATGTTCAATTTTAAGGGTCTTAATTTGTGACACTATATTATTAATTCCACATAATTTGTCCAATTTAATTGCCAAAATATTCTCAAATTTCATCTATTGTTATGAAATGTATTTCCTCTAGGTAAGTCAACATGGGAAGTAAAACATTAAAGAGGCATATTACTTCAAAGATCTGTACTGGTTGGTAAAAAAAAAGGGACAAACATGAAGCTATGCAAACTTTTAGACAAATTTGACAAATCATCACAGAAATTTAAATGTTTTATGTTTCAATTTTCAGGGATTTTTAAGATTTTTTATTGAATGGTTGTTTAAAATACGATACTGAGAGTAGATCAGTACTTGGATTAAGTTAATTTAAAGGTTATTTAAAATATATTTCGAAAAATTAATTACATAACTTTTGTGGTGAGTGTGATACTACCTCTTAGAGTTATTTTAAGCACTCAAATTTGCATTGTGTCATTAAAATGGGTATGAATTTGTAGTCAAGTAAAATTTTGTTTGGAATCGGTGTTTGACTGTAAACATGTATATACCCGGTAGATTTCTTGAATGTAAATGAGATGTCATGGGATATCAAAGCAAGCAGTTTTAAAGATATTATTTATGATCAAGTCTGTTACTCTGTCTGACCCTAAACAATAAATATTCCTTAATAATTCATGTGACTTTCAGCATCTTGTCCTTTTACCGAACAACCTCTAGTAATTTATCATATTTATACCATAATATCTACACAAAGAACATGGTCTACCATGCTAGTGACTGGAATAAGAAGGGCAAAATGTTCAAACATAACTAAAGGTGTTGGGTACTCTAAAATGCACTTGTAATTTTTGTTCATAAGATATGACATTTTTTATTATTTGGTGTGATAAACTACATATTAATCACCAAACAAATACCAATTTTATTTACCAATTACTATGTTCCAAATTTGGGCCAAAAGCATGATAAATGGTGCTGATGACAACAAAAGTCGAATTTTCTCAGTTATGCCTGAATGGATTTTCATCAAATTTGACATGAACAATGCTAATTGCAATTCCCAAAAATTCCCAAAAGGACCATTTTTGGCCATAGGCTATGGTTTGTCTGGTATCCATGGAAATGGCAAAAAACGATGACCTTGATAATCGTGTCCTAGAGAGAATTCCTTCTGACGTCATATATATAGATAGAAGTCAATGATCCAGTGTCATAATTTATTCAAGAACTGATCTAGGTCGGGGAAACCTTCTCATTTGCTATAAATAGTTTGGGTTTTTTTTCCGCTTGTAACTCCATTATTACACAACAAACAGTCACTGTATTATGTCTCCTCTGGGTTATTTTACACATGGAACAAGTGTGCAGAGTCTTAATAAGATTGGTGTTGAAAGGTTAATGTGTATCTTAGACTACTCAACACCCTTAACAAGTGGTTATATGAAGGATTTCCAAAAGCGTGGAAGAGAGAACTGGGGTTTAACGTCTACTCAACACAAACTAGGTCATTTCGGGACTCACTTTTGGTTCAATTTTATTTCAATAATTTTTTTGCGTGTAGGGATCTTTTGCAGTTGGAGAATTTTAAAATGACGTCAGTTAGTATTAAAGATGTAGATACTGATAATATCCCAAAACAGACACCTCATAAAAAAGGTTTAAGGGTCTTTATATCACAAGAACAGCATCCTTTGGTTGATTATATAAGTCAGTTGGTGTATCTGATAGAACAATTATTTGAAGACCGAAGGGTGGATGGGAGAGGGCATGGTCCAAAACTTTATCCTTAAATATACCATTCTAATAAATACCAAAAGATTTTTCAAATTTATGCATCTTACTTCAAAATGCTTCTTGTTTTAAGAAGATATCCTAATTAACTACTTCAAATTAAACATTAATAAGTAGATTACATTGGATACATAAAGTGCGAAAAAAAATGTTAGCAAATATCAATAAAACATCTGACTAGAACCATACTAATCATGTCCATATACCATAATTCACCAATCATTATTAATCAAGCCATAAAGACGTGCTTATAGCAGCACTTCAATCTACCACGCTTGGTTAATTAAGTGATCCCTGGGGCAAGATGTATGCTATTTTAACCAATATGCACAATATTGATTCCCTTAGCTCCGCTCTTCCTGATGGTCAGTATCTATTGATATCAATACTGACCTCATTCATGATTTTGCTAATCATATTAGTTAGTATTGGCGGCATTGACCTGTACGTCTGGTCAGTTGCTGGGAAAGGCAGACAAATCAGTTTATCAAGCACAGGGTATATGGGTAAGAATTCTTTGGAATCAATCAAGAACTGATCTAAAAACAATACCAAGTTTCCGTTGATTAGGGCGACCCTGTACCGACTCATTTTTCATTCTAAATCTACTGGCGTTAAATATAGAGTTTAATGACATGTGTCGGGCCTTCACTAACAAGATAAGTCACCTCCATCACTGACAGGAAAAGATTGTAACATCGAGAGAAGGAAAATGTACTGAACTATTTCAACTTCAACCTGCATCAAACCTACATTTTCATTTCGATAGTGAATTTTTTTCGGGGTAGCATGGATAAGGAATGAATCACTTTTGTCAAATCAGCACTTAGTGAGACGAAGCATGACAGAAGAGGACACTATGCTGACAAGTAGCTTAATTTACATGAGAAGATTCCAATAATCAATCCATTAGAATAAGCAGACCAAAACCAAGTAAGTCTAACATTGTTAGAAATATCCGGAACTAAATTACTCCCAGAAACAAATCTAAATTGACACGCTATAAAGGGAAGTGGGTAGACAAGTCTATAGGATAATATTAAATCTCTCGTAACCATAGACCTCGAATTGAACCAGACATCGTTAAAGCCAGTTTCCCCACCTTTACCGACTATAATGGTATTGAACTGATCCAAACTGATTTCATTACTATACAAGAGGAAACACAAAATTGGGGATGAGTATACTTTTTTAAGGATTAACGTTAAAAATTCTAAAAGCTACGGAGCGTGGTTAATGCTGAGAATCTGGTAATAGACTAAGTCCACCATTATACGAGCCATTCTACATTAATTATTTTCTGTGCAAGATACTGTTATGTCTTTAATTTACTAGACAAGATAAGTCTAAGCTAATGGCATATTTATCTATAAACAGAATTTGTAGAAAACTACTATTATATTTTCTTTATAATCTTTTAATGATATTTTGAACTACTGGTAGAAGTAAAATTGTTCAATTATAGCCGCAGTCTTAGATATATTGTTTAAGCGGCATTAAGTAACTGGATGAGAATAACACATGACACAATTATATGGAATACAAGTTACTTGAAAGATTTATTTCTGGTGACGTTTTTGAGAAGGGTTGATAAAGATGAGAGAACCCTTGTTGAAACGTCACCAGAAATAATTGTGTCATATAATTCCATATAATTGTGTCATGTGTTAGTCTCACATATATATTAGGTTGTGTTCACACTAAGAAATAGTTTGGGAAAAAGTGTGGCAAATACCCATTTTTTTCAATGCGAACACAAATGTTGAAATCATAATGTGCTATGAAATTTCACTCTTATTTGTTTCACCTTTGAAATGTGAACAAGTTTAAAAGGTTAGAGAAGTCAAGCTGATACATTTTTTTTTTCATTTATTTGAACACAATTTAATTAAAACATTGATAAAAAAAAAGTTAGGGTAAAAGTATCAGAATGCAGCCTAAGAGAAACCTGTACAAGGAATTGTGTATTCCCCCAATACACCTAACAGCAGCAAAATCGGCAATGCTAGCTTAAAAATCATTATCAAGAAATTTGACAGGGCAAATTTATACCCAAATTTAACCTCTTTGATATCTATTGATTAAATTCACATTTTCATATATAGCTGGAATCCATGTAAACGTAATGTAACTCAACACAATATTTGCATTGTCATAAAGTTTGCAGACAAAATTTTGGAGATTATCTCTACAAGGTTTAATATTTATAGCTTATACTTTCAGACACAGTCAAATTAATTATTTATTTACATTTTGACATGAAATTTGCGTATGTATGTCTACTTCATCAAAATATATCCTAAAACATATATCCTTTAACTCTAGTTGTTGGTTGTTCTTTTTTAAAAAGTGTTACATCATTTACAACTAAAGTCACTGGCAACTTTTAAGTGTGATTACAGAATCCTTGGTGATTTGTGTGTCATTTACATACCAAATTATATATATGAGATATAGTGAGGATCTTGAGATGATTGGTTCCTCAAGTGCACGTAGAAATATGATAAGACAGATAGATCGCCTGTCTCAAGTTATTATCTGACGTAAGTGTACTCTTAACAATAGGTTGGCAGTTTTCTCACGTCACAACCTTCATGTAAATAATCAAAATCAAAAATATGTGGCAGCTTATTAAACTATTTATTCATTGTTATGTGTGACAGGCCCAGACTTGAAGAAACTTGACAAGATAATTTCTAGTTTCGGCTAAGTTCTAGAGAATCAGCAGGAGGCTACATGTGGTGGAATATTTACCAATTTATATAATGGTCTATGGCTGCTCTCACTCTTACATTTCAATTTCATGCTGAGCTGTTGAATTGATTAGTTAAATTGCATTACTTATGGCAATAGTGTTAACACTGATAAAAAAATACATACCACCAAAAAAACTTAACGATTTAAAGATGGACCAATGTGCAGAAAGCGTATTCTGCATCTGCAGACAAAGTTCAGTGCATATTTTCTAATTTACAAATTGTTTGTATATACAAAATTGCTACTATGGCGGTGTTTACATAAACATGTTCATGTATATATCATCAAAATCCCATAATTTGAATGGCGTCTGCCATTCAGGTCTGCCTCTTATTATCCTATCCTTGGAATATTTTTGTTGCTAAGCAATTAATTGCTATATCATTATTATTTTCATTCCATAATTATCCTACATGTATTAATGTTTTAACCTACCAAGTCTTGAATGTCCATAACTAAACAGACAGCCATCAGCACCGCTAACAACAGATTGTAAAATGTCAGAAAGACTGCCAGCACACACTTCAGTCTGAAACAAAAAACCGAAAACAATTAAGAATACTAGTTATTGAAATAAACTGCTAAGACTATTCTGCAACTAACACAGTTAATAATATGCTGTTCAGACGGCCATATTCAAGTTATTCAAGGTGTTTTTAAGCCAGGGGAGTTGGTATTAACACATAATACCAGTTTAACTGTTCCAATAGCCACCATCAAAAGGTGTATGTCCTACTTGAAACTGCTGCATGCCCTAAGATAACTGAAGCTGTTCAGGCGGTCAAAATATAACCCAAAGACAGGTAGTGAATGGAGGTTTTAAACTGGCTTATTTGGCCAATCTTTATGTTCAGACGAGAAGTTAAACTAGCTTAACGATCACCAGTATGTTTAAATTTCAAATAAGCTTAACTTTAACCTTTGAATTACTTTACCAAATTACTTATGTAGTGGTGTATGTATCGTACATGAGACAGGATTGCGTACTCTTTCCAGAACACATACATAAAGATACTTTTCATATGTTTGGGCCGTCTTCATTAGCCCAGGTTAGGAGCAGAACAGTAGGACGTTAAACCCCATTTCATTTCATTTCATGTTTGGGAAGTAGACATAGCAAACAATTCCTGTTGTTTCTATGTAAATTAGACAGCTCATGATTTTTAAAACAGACAATTTAGAAATAAAATTTCCAACTACCAGAACAATAATTATGCTACATGATTTTTAAAACAGACAATTTAGCCTCAAAATATACCAGAACAATTATTCTACAAAATTAACCCAAGAAATCAAGTCTATTTGAACCAATAATCAAAATAGAAAACTCTGGTTATGTTAACAAAAGATTCTCTTTTATCGTGGTTAATGAAATCAGCGATCAATCATCAGGTGTTAGAACTGTTAATATAGGTAGACTTAAAAAACAAATAACACAAGCTCATCCACCGGATTAACTCCATCAATCCTGGTAAATTAACTCATCTCTTCATACATAAAGTAGTACTTATCTTAACATATATGTTTATAAACAACGTATTACGGTCGTATATAATAGAAGATTGACTAATTATGTCTTCAAGATCTCCAGGAACAGCTATATACTCAAAGTTATATTTTCACCCTCATCATGTCTTCATTTTATCTGATTTTTGACCAAGGTTCCAAAAACAATCAATTTAACGCAAGTAATAATAGATAGGCACTCCCTGGAGATTTGGAGAGCTTATATAAGCCAGTGGTTTCAATCGAAAAATTGTTATCTGAAGCCAACGGATTTTCATCAATCTATTTCAATCAACTAAACTTAATTTTATTTGGTCAAATCGCAATTCAAAGGTTATCTAAGACAATCCTGGTTCAACTAAAATAATCAACACCCTCATTAAAGGAGATGGTTCATTTATTTCTGTATTTTAACAATAGATAAATAATGATGGTAGCTACTTTAGCATGCTACTAACATCAACTTTAACAAATGTCACACAAAATTATATATTGTATACAGGTCACTGGGAGAATCCAAACAATTTTCTAAAAAAAAAAAATAACTACATTTTATGCTTGACAACACCACATTGACAAATCTGGTAGTACATGTATGATAAAATTAAGGGTTGTGCATGAACAAGACCACCTAAAAATTGATCCAAGTAGCTAGCTGTCATCATTATCTATCTTTTGTTAAAATATAGAAATAAATGGCCATCTCCTTTAAATATTGGTTATTAAGAAAAGGTATTCATAAAAAATAGCATAAAATAAATAGTGGACTACTGAAGATATATTGGTTCTTATAAAATACTATAATATACCTTATGCAAAAGAATGCAGTCAGAGAGTTAATGATTTTCCCTCTGGTCAACTTATAATACAGTATATATAAAAGCTGTTTTAGTTGGTCAAATTATGGGTTAAAGGTGAGATTAAGTAGTGTTTCAGTGTTAACACTTCTACTGATAATATCTCCCAAGTGTCAGTTAACCTCTAACACTTGAATGGAATTGCCATTTAATAGCAAAGACTAAAGATTTGACCATATGTTGTAGAGCTTAGAAGAAGGCTTTTGAGGATGATGTACAGGGTATACTACTTCATGGTCGTCTGGCAATGCTATTATATACTAATCAGTTCACGTCCAGGTACAAATTACTTTCTATGATAGCCATTAAACCTTTAAGATTTCTTTAAATAGAAAACGAATATACAACGAAATTTCGAAAAGTGAGTACCAATGTTTTAACAAATTTAATTTTTGAAAGAATCTTTAGTAAATCCAAAATTTCAGATCAAATTGAATCTATTTTATGACTACCAAATATCTGTCACCATAAAAAATACTTTGAAAAACCAAATAACAATAGGCCTACAGATTTAAAAAAAATTTCTTCTTAAAGGCTAGCAATTAACAAGGTTAAATTTGCCTTCAAAACAAATACCTATAATTTATAAGATACAGAAAGAAGAATACATCTGATGTAGCTATTGATGATAGAAATCAAATCAAGATAGAGTTTATCCCAATGATCAATCTGTTTCATTTGATTTTTTATTCAAAACATGTACGTGTGACATCATGAAGCAATGTGGGCCGTCTGCTGATTACAGCAGAAATATTGGAAGAGAAATGATTTGGTAGTCTGCAGTTGTCAAGATGATAAAATCAAACATTCCAGCGTTGAAGCACCTTTATCCCCATGGTGAATATGAGTGAATGTATTTATGATTTGTAGTTGTTTGGTGGTGTTCCGTCCCCCAGGGCTAATTTTAACTGTTAACACATGTTGTACATCTAAACACAATCTGTTCATAAAATGAACAGTGTTTTTTAATCAGGTTTTTTTGTTTAATTTAATAAAACCTTCCTAATCCGTCTGCTTACTTTAAGTTTTATACAAATTAATGATATAAACATTCTAAATCTGGTTGAACTTATCTCACTTTGCACATCTGTGGATTATCAATTTTATTAATTAATCAAAGTTTATAATTTACCAGAGAATCATCCGGAGAGAAAACTCCATCAAAAGCAAACATTTTAGGGGCGGCCACAGCAGATCTTCGACTGGCAGACGTAATATATCCACTAGCAGTTGGGTCATGTACCGTCACTTGTTTACGGCGTGGGTCGATGGTTAGAAAACTTCGTCCTTGTTCTTGCTGACCAGGAACTATAGGAGAACATATCTTTAACATCACCTTGACCTGAAAATATATAAGGTAATTAATGAAAATGCATATTCATAATGTAACGAAAAATACAGATTCAAAATGTAACGGGAACCGAAAATACAGATTCATAATGTAATGGAAACCAAAAATACAGATTCATCATTGACATGATTGCATGGGAAGTGACTGAAAAATAATGACAGTCAATTCAAAAAACATAACTGAATGGTCTGCCAAACACCCATAAATGAAGGGTCGACACAACAATAATAAACTAATGGTTAACCCTACAGGTCAACAAATGAAAACTCATCAATAAGAAGTTATATCGAGTGCTAGAGAAAGAATAAGCATATTCTGCCTCATGTAAGCTACTTTTCACAACTTTTAACTAAATGAACAGCAATTTATACCTGGATTTCAAAAACAAGCTTATTGGTTATAGGATAACCTTGGGGATCAAAACTCAAAAGCCACCAGAAAATTTACCAGCCACTTGAATTTAATAGTAAATAAAGGTTTGTTAGGTGGTATTCGTTTTTCTAAGCGGATAAATTTTCACGAAGTAGTTATGTAAATAGCGTAAAGAGTAAAGAGAATTCGTTCCTGAAGCCGATTTAGTAATGAGAAAAAAAAAATTTGGTTCAATGTCTCCCACCATTTTATATAAACTGACAACTAGATATATACTGGATGGGAATGGAAGAATTTACCCATATATTGTCTCACAAGAGGTCATGAATAATTCCACCATTTTTTCAACCACTTGTGCTGGAATTCATTTACTTAATACCGAATACAGACGGAAAGTTGTTGAATGTGAAAACAAATTGACTAACTGTTGGAACGAATTTAATCTTCACATACGCAATAAGATTGGACTTTATGTCTTTTGGTTATAATGACATATTTATCCGCCTGGTCATAATTTGATAAACATTGTTGAAAAGATTCTTTTAAATTCCATTTGCTGGAACTGGACTTGATTGATCTTGTTTCATCTTGGATGAGATCAAAAGAATCTAATACCAAAATACAGCTTATAAACCATACATATATTATTCTAGACTTTGTTGCATCCAAACTTTTGGGAAGTGAAGGAGATTTTATGGAAATGGGTCATAAGATCAGCTAGTTTATTACATCAACGAAAGATGCAGATCAATACACATAAATTTTATGACTGAAAAACTGACATGGTGAATTTCACATCTGCTACTGGCAGACATATTCATTGAAATCTTTGAAAAAATTTAATAACGTATAAATAATGATTTAAATGAGTTTTATGAATAAGACAACTTCTTTGGAATCGCACAAGAAATAATCCACCTGTCACGTATCATTTTGGATATGGTTATGGAAGTAAAGAAAGAAAAAGACCTTTACAAAACAGTGGAAAAGAATCTATTGCTAGCTTATTATTTTATCCAGACAACTATACTAATATATTTTTGTCTTACATAGGAGTGTATGAGCAATTATCTAGACCTCCAATCTGATTAAAATCAGATGCGTTTTTTTTTAATTTTCTTTCATTGTATATTCCACGTTTTATATTTTACCAGAAACAATATTACTTAAATTCATTGTATCATTGTGTTGTGTTCAAAGTTGTGTACTGTAAACAGCCAATGAATGTGCAGCTGTACATGATGCATTTGATGTCACCTGTGTCCACACTAATCATTCTGAATATATGTTCAATCTTATATTATTAGTGTGAAAAATCAAAACTATCAAGACAAAAGAAATTAAAGATATAATACTAATTAGAACGTCACACACAAAAAAGTCAGATCATGAAAGAAAATCTGTTCTCTTTGATTAATTAAATAAAACAATTCCTGTCAGTTTTCCTAAAAAGAAATAACAACCGTTGGTGTAAAAATCAACTGAATTTCAACATCAGTGAGCTGGTTTTTTAGTCTATTGATCTATTGATTCTATGAACCAATATAAAATGTTCTCCGCATGGTAGAGAGATAATTTCAAGGTTGTGGACCTATCCCCCTCCTGATCTCATCAATCTCCTACAGTTAAAATAAGCAGGTTATGTTTTTACCTCCTACTTAATTAAACTCAATCCCAGTTTGATACAAGAGACAGCAGCAGTATGGCACCATATTGTCACATATGTTCTTGTAAAACAATTTCTATAAAGCAAGGAATGGCATTTGCCTATCGTAAGTCATAAAATACATGGCTTTAAAATAACATGAAGACATTGACTTTTGGGTTATACATAAATTTCAGAATATACCCAGGTTGATAATAATGTAGGCGTAAGAATGACCACATGTGGAAAATCACATCATTATATTTTCCATCGTACATGTAAATAACTAATTATTCTGTCCGTTGATCAAAAGGATATGCAGTTCATCTCATCAATTAATTATCCGTTTCATCATTCTTCTGTTCTTCTGATGCAAGCTAAATGTCTAAAGAGCCCTTGAATATTTACATGCAGAATGTACATGTACTTGCATTTGAATATTGCATATTCTACAGAAGTAAAGACCTGTCAGTTTTCAAAGGATTTTTTTTTTGTCACATCTAAGGGTCAAGTTAGGAAGACAAGAATTAATTCAATTGCCTTTTGGGAGATGTAATCAAGCAAAAATAGCAAATTTCAATTTAGATATCATTCTTTCTCCAAAAGATATGAGTCGTCCGTGCATGTTCCATTTATTCCGACTGAATGAGAATGGTCTTTTGCCTCTGCTTCACCTAAAGCCTTGTGATGGAGATTATCATAGCAGAAATTAAAGATGGCTGATTGTATCAAATGTATCTTTATGATAACTTTGTGTTGTATAATGAATGAATGTTTTCCTTTGCTCGTGTCAAAAACACTGACAGTGTGACAAGAGGTTCTGTTAAAATGATTTGAATCACTGATCAGATGTCACTTTGAACCTGTTGCTGGGGTTACGTCCTCTCAAAACCCCGCATTCAAATAATTACCCAAAACATCTCTCAACAACACAATCATGACATAATCAAAAGCCAGCAAATCTCTTTTTTTTTCAAACAATTTAATCAAACTAATTCAAGTGCAAACTGGAGGCAAAGAATCAAGAGCAGACACTGAAATCATCAACTACAAACAAAAAACACTTTCTAATTCTCATCCATATGGTCATACAAGTTGCTATTGACAATTTTACAAAATGAAAAACTGTGTGTGTGTGTGTCTTTCTGTGCATTGTTATAGAACTGCCTCAATGTGTAACCTTTTATTAATGCTCAAGCTTAGCTTTATAATCATCTTAATGTTCCACAATCACAAACCATTGCTATGTTTTGGCACATTCCCAAACTGAAAAGGCTCTCATTTAGAAATAATTCTTCACTATCAATCTATTTACCCGTTTCTTGCAATGGCTGTAGGAAAAGGCAAGAAGAAAATCTAATTTTCACGTTGACTGAGAGGAAAGAAAACAGGGGTGTTGATTGTGTGAGGGTTTACAGATGTAATAAAGGTACAACCACAATCTTACAATAAGATTAGTACCAAGCCTGGGCTTTATACTAAGGTACCTTTGTCACAAGAAGGATTAAATTATAAGGATGTAGCTACAAGAATGCCATCTAGTTGTTATAGTAACAAGAACTGGTGGCACCAACAACAACCTTAATGTTACATACGTGTCAATATTGATGACTCTTCAATCTGATTAAAACCAGATGTTTTTCAATACATTTTTTTCCTTTTCGTTTAAATTCTGTATTTTATGTTCTATCTGATTCAATTTTACTTAACTTCTGACAAGTTCTATCAATGTGTTCTACTTGTGTACTGTACACAGCCAATGAACAAACAACTGCTCTAATCACACTGAGACTCTGTTCACTGATCTATGTATAGTTACTGAAGTCACGTGCATAATGCCACCAATGTCAGACGTTCAAACAGAAGCTGTTCTAGATATATGTTAGTTTAGTGTTGAAAACCATCAAAAAATATTAAGATGAAACAAAATAAAGACATATTTTCAATTAGACTGGATAAGAAAAATGAGAGTTTATTTTTTTAGTAAAATTTAACTGAATTAAATGAAATATTGCCAGGTAATACAGGTGTGTTGAACAATACAATTTTCCATGACGACAGAAGTTGTCAGTGTGAGCTGTGTCTGTCCCAATATATAGAATGACAGTTTTATAGTTATCATTCTTATTCTAATTGCAGCTCATTCGCATGAACAATTTGTCAGTACGGGTAATGCCAGATTCTGGATAATTGAGATAATGCTTTTGCACTTCATGTTTATCTTTAAATGTATATGTTGGATATGTGGGACTGATTATCCAGTCAATGTGTATTTTAACACTGCTGGCATAATTAGTGCAAAGTTTATACTAATTAATTCTTTTACTGATAATGTTTGAAAGAGTTAATATTTTGAATCCAATCAATGTGTATTTCAATACACTGCTGGCATAATTAGTGCAAAGTTTATACTAATTAATTATTTTACCGATAATGCTAGAAAGAGGTAATAATATTTTGAAACCAAATTTATGGGGTATGGAGTAAAACATATTATTTTCATTATTGTAAGGTCTTTTCATAATATTTTGTTTAAAATTTCAACAATGGGATTGGTTTCACCAAATCATGATATTATGGGGTTTTTTTATCATAGGAGACATATGCAGACTTTGGTAGTAAATGGCTTTGACAGAGAGATTTTATGTTAATAAACGGTTTCAAGAAATAGACTTTATATTATTAAATGGTTTAAGCAGATACCAGTATTATATACAGACTTTTTGTTAAATGGTTTATGTACATACCAGACTTCCAACAGAATTATATAAAGACTTTATGTTAATAAATGGTTTACGTATATACCAGACTTCCAACAGAATTACATACAAAGTTTACTTTAATAAATGGTTTATGTATATACCAGACTTTCAGGAGAATTACATATATACTTTATGTTTATGTATATACCAGACTTACAAAAGAATTATATACAGACTTTACGTTAATAAATGGTTTATGTATCTACCAGTCT